CAAATGGTGGCCTCCAGTGTGAATTTGTCCATTCATCACTGCTCCTGGGTTTGATGTGCCAGTTCCACCTCCCATCAGCTTTAGCTGAATTACAGTCCATCCTGCAACTGTAAAAATGTCACAAACTGACAAATGATTTCATGTTGATCTGTAAAAATGTTGCAAAGCAAGTTACCGGGCTTCCTACACATCAGAAAAACTGGTTCATGTTTTTGTCACGTCTAGAATAGACTATTGCAATGGTTTATTATCTGGGTGTCCAAATACTTCTTTAAAAAAAGGTTTGTAAACTCAATCATCCAGGTAGATAACAACAAAAAAAGGTTAAATCGGGTCATCTGAACCAATTTCTTTAAGTGTGAAACATTTTGTCTCCCATCCAGAGAACTTCCTCTGTCTACGGCCTGCCAACCAAATTTGTCTGGTTGCCTGTTTTGTTACTTCTTTAAAAAGTATTCAGTTAATCCAAAATGCTGCTGCCAGAGTCTTAACTGGAGTTAGTAGGAGCAATCTCCAGTTTTAGCTTCTCTCCATTGGCTCCCTGTCAAATCCAGAATTGAATTCAAAATCATACTTCTAACCTACAAAGCCCTTAACAACCTAGCTCCATCTTTTATTTGAGATCTTATTGTCCCGTATTTTCCTAACAGAGCACTTCGCTCTCAGACTGCAGGCTTACTTGTGGTTCCTAGAGTTTCCAAAAACAGAATGGGAGGAAGATCTTTCAGTTAACAGGCTCCTCTCTGGTGGAACCAACTTCCAGTTTCTTTCGTGAGGCTGACACATCGTCCAGTTTTAAGACTTTCCTTTTTGATAAATCCTGTAGCTGGGGTTGTCTTGTTATGCTGCTATAGGCTTAGACTACAGGAGGACAAATTGACCTCATTTCCATGAATTGTTAAAATTGAATAGTTTTCATTTGATATTATTTCTATCTTAACGTGATTCTCGACCTGCCATTGTGTATCTGTTCCTCCTTCCTGTTCCTCTCAAACCCAGCTGGTTGAAGCAGATGGCCTCTTGTCCTGAGCCTGGTTCTGCTAAAGGTTTCTTCCTCATGAAGGACTTTTTCCTTTCCACTGTCGCCTTCATGCTTGCTCAAGATGAGAGTCTGCGATGGAGTTAAACTCAAAGCAGTCTGCTCCTCAGATAAATAATGGTAAATTATTTTTTATTTATATGAATGTTTCTGTTCAGTGCCCTAAGATGACTTCTGTTGTGACTTTGCACTATATAAATAAATTGAATTAAAATTGAATAGATAATAAATTCACAACCTAAAAAGTTAAAACAACCAAATGTGACTGTAAAGAAATGAGTCAAAACTTAATTTTTGTATAAACAGAACCAATGGTGGAATATTTTCTCATTCAAATAATCCGTAGTTGTAAATGGGCTCTGGATGTTTGACTAAAGAAATGTAGTCCCTGTCAATAAATCCAGTTAAAATGCTCCCCACAGTTGTTTTTAGTGGTAAAATTAGTGATTTTCCACAAACGCTGACTTTAATAAAACTCGCCTGAACACGGCCACCTCACACAGAAAGAGTCTGAATCGCTGCAGTAATAAAATGTTTATTTGCTCTTTGTTTAAAACTGCAGAGCCTCTATTGAAACCTCCTTTAGTGATCACGTTTCTGTAGCGTTTGCTAACATGCACCTCCATGCACTGCTGCGTGTCTGTAAAGATGACCATGGTCAGTGGGAACACAAAGGAACAGGTCTCACTTGTTTCCATGTTGTAGCTGGAAACATCAGGAGGAAAATCTATCCCAGATCTGATTCCCAAAGATACTTCTGAGTGAAGTTGATCTATTGATGTTTTGAGACAAAAATCTGTTAAACTAAACATGTGAAGTCTCACACTCATTGAGGTGCAACTCTCTGGCAAAAGAAGGCTGGAAATTTACAGTATCTTCTTCTTGAGCTGGTAAACATCGAGTTAAGAAAATATATTGACTGTGCAGGTCAAAATACTTGTTGGACGATGTGAAAAGCTGTTTGTCGCAATTGTTACCTAGCACATGCTCAACATGTTTCATTGGTCTTCTGTTAAATGTAAAAAAAAAAGAAAAAAAAAGGGGAAACACTTTTTAAAATCCTGCTGTTGTGTCTGTTTCCTTCAGTGTTTTATAGAAAACATCTATTTTCACACAAACCTCCAAATTTCCAGAAAACCCACAAAGAACTTCAGGTTGATTTAAAAATTAAACATGTTTAAATGATGTGCTTTTTCTTTTTTTTGCTTTTTTTTTTTTTAAATCCGATGAGTTTCCATTTTAGTGGAGCCTAATTGGTTTGTAATCAATTTGGTGAAATCAACTTGTTTTTTTTCCCTCTGGTATTTTATCGTCTGTCTCTTTATTCACAAACAGATAAATTATCAGTGGCTTTTTGTTAATTTTTTTTACTGATTTGCAGCAGTTCCACTTTTCAGATGTCTCACTTCCCTTTCCTGTCATTACTAAGGATTAAATTGTTTCAAAGCCTCAAACCAGTAGCTGATTCTCATTATGTCATGTTGCAATTTATGTTCTAATCACATTTTTAACGAGATTTTGAGAAGTAAATTTAGTCTGGAGGCTCTGTTGTTGCTCCCAAAATCTTACTTTTACTGGTTAACCCTCTAATTAATCTCTATTTTTATCTGGTTAGATGAATATTTGAGGCTTTATTTCTGCAAAAATAGGTTTTCTTTCTAAACACCTGCTGCTTTAAGTGCTCATCAGATTTGTAGTTTCAGAACAATACAGAGGTTGTTGGAAACCAGTGCTTCAAGAGAATCACCTTGTTTGAAGATGTTTAAAGGTCTGTCCTGACACTTCTTTAAGCAGAGCTGACAGAGTTTGAGGCAGATTAGGTGCGGCCTCCCTCAGATTGCAGACGTATACATTAGAGTAGATCATTTTAGTGTCTTTATGGGACGAGCAGAGAGGCGGCTAAGTGACTTTTTATTCAATTTCATTGAGACGTGTCAAGTGTCAGCTTGTTCAGATACAACAATAAATGTTGCGTTTCATTGCTCTTGATTAATCAGACCACTTAAGTGAAACTGTTCTTCTCCTCTCATCAGTTTAATACGGTTACGCTTCTCCTTCTGTCTGTCTATATCCGTTTCTCTTTCTGTATCTCTATCTTTCTGTATCCCTATCTTTCTGTATCTATATCTATTTCTATATCCATTTCTATATCTATATATTTCTAGCTATCTATATCCATCTATCTCTATATCCACCTCTACATCTCTACATCTATATCTTTATCTATATCTCTATCTCTACATATCTCTATATCTCTATCTACATCTCTAGATCTTTATCTAGATCTTTATATCTATATCTCTATATATCTACATCTCCATATCTCTATCTATATCTCTACATCTCTGCATCTCTATACCTCTACATATATCTATATCTCCATATCTCTATCCACATCTCTATATCTCTAGCTCTATATCTCTACAGCTCTATATCACCATCTATATATCTCCACATCTATCTATATCTCTATCTACATCTTTATATCTATATATCTCTACGTCTCTACATTTCTATATCTATATTTATATCTCTCTATCTCTAGATCTACAGTATATCTCTATATCTGGGCTATTCACCTGGTGGCCCACAGGCCATTTCCGGCCAGCGGGTGCTTTCAATCTGGCCCACTTCATAACACAATTTTTTGGTGTTTGTTTTGGTTCTGGGTTTGGGTTATATTTATTGAATTTATGATTCAATGCAATAAAATAAACAACTTTTAAAAATAACAGATCATTTTAAACTTGGGTTTATTTACATAATGATTTTAATCGCTGGATGTCCAGCCCCCGAGCTGTTGGTTTTCAGAAACTGTGCCCCACCCTGAGCAGTTTTGTTGAATAGCCCTGCTCTATATAAATGTGTGCATGTATTTACAGACTGTGGAGTTAAAATATGTCGTCAAGCTAAGTTTTTGATGGTGCAGTAAAAACTCTGCAGCTCCTCTGTCCTTTAGGAGGAACAAGTGATGCAACGTTTAGGATCTCAGAGTTTGTGGGAGCAAAGTCAGTTTGTGTCATCAGGGAGATGTAGCAGGAAGCTTGGGGTAAATGGTGATGGGTTTAATTTCTCTTAGATCTTACAGTAAAAGGTTTTATTTCCTGGATGTCAAATTAAACTAAGAAAATTTGACTTTTATGGGCTAAAACATTCAAATTGATAACATGCAAAAAACCCTCATAATCCATCTTTTTTTTTTTTCAAATCATGTGCATGTGTTGAAATGAACCATCACTGTTAATAAACAATGAGCAGTTAATAAATAGCTTGGCTGATGACAAGTGTGTTCGTCGCATGTTATTTAGAGGCATTGACAGCATGTGCACCTTTCCATTAGTTTGCTGGTTACTGTTTCTTTATTAAGCTAAAGTTTTTTTATTATTTTTTTTTTTTCTGGCTGCATTTGAAGTCCTGCTGTGCAACAGTCTGAAAGCTTCACCGGCAATGGAAAGTTAGAGCACATAAAATATTAAAATGGTGCTTTGCACAAAGCTCTGTTGTGCTGCACAATCTAAAGTAACATAAATTCTCATCATTTCAACTCAATAATTTAGCCATCTGGCTGAAATACTTTGAAAATGAACAGCAGTGCTTCAGATTATTTGTGTTTGATGAGAAGCAGCAACACAAATATGAGTGTCATCTCATTGGATTACATTGTTTCTGACGACTGAGTCACATTTTCAGCTTACGGTTCTCCACGGAGTGATACACAAGAATGGAGGTGGTGATTTTTCCCATCAACACAGTAGATCTGAGATCAATCCTCCTTTTACCTTCATGTGAGCCTGAACAGAAGGTCTCTAGAAGGTCGATGTAATGCTTTGACTTGAGGTTGAGTACATCTGTGGACCCCTAAAGTTTGAATGCTTCTTCTGCCCCCTGCTGGTCAAAATATAAAATCAGAACTTAATTATTGTCTAAGTCTTTGCTCAGGTTTCTGTTTGTCTCTCCCCAGGTCTTCCAGAGCAGTACTACAGTCTGACGTGGTTCCTCAGTCCGGTTCTGGGCCTCATGTTCACCCCTCTGATCGGCTCGGCCAGCGACCGCTGCACTCTGCGCTGGGGCAGGAGGAGGCCGTTCATCCTGGCTCTCTGCATCGGAACGTTGCTCGGAGTGGCACTCTTTCTAAACGGGTCATTAATAGGTGAGCACTGTGTGGCTTGTTTTTTATTTTTATTTTTATGAACGCTTAAGAAGATACAGCACAATGCAAAATTTTTAACTCATGGTGTAAAAGATGAATATTAGGTTTATCTGATCTACAGAAGGTTAAACATTCAAGCAACGGGTGTTTGGTGAGAAGAAACCCCATAAAAATGAGAGAAATTACATTTTCTGCAAAAATGCAGTGTGAATGCTTATTGCTGAAGAAATTGCTGAAAAAAAGCTAAAATTAGTTAAAAACATGCTGAAATGGAAGCATAAGCCTAAGTTAGCAGAAGAAAAAAGAAGGAACATATTTGTTGAAATAGGTTTAAATAAGCAGAAATGAGCAAAAAAAATTGGAAAATTAGCTAAAAAAGCTGAAATGAGCAACAACAACAACAACAAAAAAAGCTGAAAAGTACCAGTAGTTGAAAAAGCAGAAAAAAGTCTAAGGTACCAGAAGGAAGTGGAAAGAGCTGATATGAGCTCAAAAATGCAGAATTAGCTGAAAAGGCTAAATTTAGCACAAAATCAGCTAAAAAGTAGCTGAAATAGCAGAAAAGGCTGAAATTAGTAGAAAAAGCTAAATGGAGCATAACAAATTGAAATTAGCACAAGTAAGTTAATTAGGGTGAAAGTAGCAGAAATTACAGAGAAAAACTTGAATTTATGTGAAAACGACTGAAAATAGCTAAAAATGCTTTAAAAAAAAGTAGCTGAAAAGTTAGAACAAGCTTAAATGAGCAGAAGAAAGCAGAAAGAATATGTATGCTGAAAGAAGCAGAAATGAGCATAAAAAGTGGAAATTATCTGAAAAAAGCTGAAATTGGCATAAAAACAGCTGAAAGGTAGCTAAAAAAAGCAGAAAAAATCTGAAATTACCAGAAGGAAGTGGAGAGAGCACATTTTTGCTGAATTGGGCAGAAAAAAATTGAAATGAGTGCAAATAATATGGAATTAGCTTAAAACGTAAATTAGCATAAAAACAGCTAAATACAAGCTAAAATAGTAAAAAAAAAAAAAGGTTAAAACTTGCAGAAATAAGCTTCAATGAGCATGTCAAGCCGAAATCAGCATAAAGAAGTTATAAGAAGCACACAAAGGTTGAAGTTAGCAGAAAGAATCTGAAAGGAGCACGAAACAGCTGAAATTAACTGAAAGTAGCTGAAAAAATGTTCAAATTTGTACAAGGAAGCTAAATTTAAAAAGCTGAACTAGAACAAAATGAAGAAGCAGTAAAAGGTTATAAACAGATCTAAAGATATGAAGGATGTAAAATGAGCTCAATTCATTTTCTATGAGAAAAAAAAAATGGCAGAAAAGGCTAAATATTTCAAAAAGCTAAAGTTGCACCAACACCAAAAGTCAAAGCAGGATTGTCCTGAAAAAGCTGAACATTTTGATAGGATTTGTTGAAATAGCTTGAAAACTGCGGGACAAGAATCAAGTTGAAAATGTACGGAAGAAAAAAGGATCACAATAGTGAGAATGTTTTATAAACATTCACACAAAAAGTAACTGCAGATAATTGTCTTTGTTTAAATGGCTTTAATTAAGGACACAACAATAACAGGTGACTGGAAACAAAACGGAATTAGTGATTTTGTTTCTTTTAGGTAATAAACATTTAAAATTGTAAAACTTTACACTGTATTCCCAGTCAATATTAAAAGACTAGAAGCGTATAATAAAAAAATGCAATAAAGATTGCTGTACTACCTGATGTTTCTTTGACTTTGAACTGTTCTAAGACTTTTTTTATTTTTACATTTTGCAGCAGCAGGAATATTGTTAAACTTAATCAACACTTACGGTTCACTGTTGTTTTGCTTAATAAAAAAAAAAACATTTATTATCTTCTATATGTTGCTCTCATTAAATAATAACGTGCGCATGAGAGTCTTGACCCTTTAGATGTCTCAGACATAAAACAAAGTGTAGTAAAACATCAAGGGAGTTAAAATATTCAAATAAAGGGTTTTGTGAATAATTTTTTCAGCAGACTATTACATTTTACTCACTTCTGATCTGATCTACCCCCATTTGTCTACTCAGAAGTTGACACATTGAAATAGGGCACCGGGGATGTGTGTGTAGGTGTGTGTGTCTGGGTGTGTGTTTGTGTGTGAGTGACTCTTGGCAGTAGAGTTAAGAAAAAAATATCTGTGTGAAAGAAATGAGCAAATGAGTGAGAACGTGTGTTTCAGTGGTAAATAAATAGAAGTGTGATTGTGCACAACACAGAGTGACGTGGGAAAACTGTAGTAACCTGCGTGTGTGTGTGTGTGTGTGTGTGTGTGTGTGTTGACATGGGAACACCAGAGCAGGCAGTTCACAGGGAAATGGTTCCTGTTTGCTTCCTTCTTTCCACCAATCACAGGTCACTTCCTGTCTGGGTGCCTGGTTAATGAGTACGGTGGCTCCATTGTGCCTGCTGCCCCCCCCCCCCCCCCCACACACACACACACATACTGCTGTTCTTTCTACAAACACTATTTATTTCTCCTGCCATTTGTGGATTTCAGTTTGTAAAGTCATGCTGCGTCACACTGCTGCTGCTATCTCACACACCTTTATAATAAACATCCAACTTCACCCTGTGCGGTTCACACACATTCATACAACTGTTCCCTCAGAAAGTAACTCACAAGGTCACTCGCACCCTGCAAAGCAGTATGGGAAATGTGCAGTGACCTATTTGTGTGCGTGCCGTCAATTAACAGCCACAAATAAGTTATTGATCACAAGTTTGGCTTCAATCTAATGGATAACGTCAGAAAACACAAGGTAAGTTGCTTTAATGTTGCATGCACATATAAAAAGCATTTCTCTGTTTTAGAAAATTATATCTGAACTAGGGCTGGGCGATATGGACCAAAATTAATATCTCGATATTTTAATATAAATGGTGCTATACAATATATATATATATTTTTTTTTTTTTCTTTCCATAAAGTAGTAACAAATATATATTTATGAGTCAAAGTTTTGTCCCAATTGTCACACAGCTTAACAAAGCTGTAACGGTACAAAATAAATGTCTCAAATATTTTTTTCCTGCATAACAAAATCAAAAACACATCTGTGCTCTTAAAATTTAAACAGAAAACATACAGAGCAAACATAATTTCATTGTACTGTTAACCCTGTGTTAACCTTGCGTATGACAAATAAACACAACTTGAACTAAAACTAATGAAAGGCTGACTTGTTCTTTAAAAAGTCTGATTCTAATGAAGTATCTTCAGTCAACCTTTATTAACCTTTATTAACAATGCTGTTAGAAAGCCCACATTGTTGTGTAGTTGGCTTGTTTACTGAGTTTGATTCTGTTTGATTATGGCTTGTAATACGGTTCCGAATTTAATAATTCCTATGCTCTTGAATGCACCGTCACTGTGATGATGGTGAACGCACCGCTCTGTCTGTAAACAAAGTTCAGAGCTGCGTGTGTCAGTCTGTTTTTTTTTCCTCTCCCGACGCAGACGGAGCCTTGCAGCTTTGCTGAGCCTTGAGCTTCTGTGCTTTCATGCTGTGTGTAAATACCAGAAGAAACACAGCAAAATAAATCACCCTAAAATAGATATTTGTCTCCATGTTTTTTTAATGAGAAGACAACTTCATACCTTGCCAACCAGTTCATTTCCTGGAGAACACCAAATTTCACACATTATCAGGAATTTAAAATGGCTCTCCCACTGTGAGTCAACAAAGATCTATCTGCATATCTAAGCTTCTTCAGCTGGAGCAAGCAGCTGGGGAGGGGCGGGTTTGTATTCAGTAGTGATGGAGAGAGGAGGGGTGGCGTGAAGGCTGAAGCCTGCAGACCGGGAGAAAAACTGGCGGATTTATAACTTTATGCAGCGTATAAGACTATATCGTTTTATATCGATATAGTCTCATTTTATATTGCATTTTAAATTATCTCGGTATTTTTAAAATATCGATATATCACCCAGCCTTGGCTACCACTATACCAAATTTCATCTCAATATGACAAAAAAACAGTCATTTTCCCTTTTAGCTAAGGCGGCCATCTTGGATTTTTTACAATTTTGATTCAATACTGTATGTGATGTTGAGAGTTGAGAGCGTTATGAGAGAAAATCTTGCTTCAGACAGCTGCTGTGTGCAGACAGTTGGGTCTCTTGAAGAAATTCTTGAAGCATGAGTGAGATAGGAGATTGGTTCACACTCTTGTTACATTTCACATTTTTACAGCACTAATTGTCAGAGATATGACGAGCTAAAATCTCTCCTCACAATTTGATCAGAACAAAAATGTCAGTATTATAATGGGGAAACATAGACGTGAAACGATCGCGCTTCTGAGACGCCTCATGAAGACAACGCAACTCCTACAGCCAAACCACACATACTGGTGGAAAGTTGACAAAAATGCCTAAGTTTTGATGTATAATATATCAGCGTGTCTTAAAAATTGTGGAGGTAGGAAGAGTTTGTTGACTTTCTGATATATCTTCAGGGACCTCTCCACTCTAGGTCATGTGACCTCAGAGTTGCCGTTAGAGGGTGAGAAGTGTTCCATCAGGAGTTTTTATGTGGGAAACATGGCGTCTTTATTTGCAATTACCTTGTCATGTTAACTCGAAATTCCAATAAAAGTAATAGCACACATCACGGGGCTGAGCCGATTGTTTCAATAGAACATTTGTGGGGGTGCACATTGTGGTTCGGGCCACATTAAAGTTGGCGGAAGAAAAATAATGGGTGCTGCCTTATACTAGGCAGTCCCCAATAAAGTTAAGAAACCCTAAATCAGGTGGATAATAATAAGTGTCAGTCTTATAGGCGGTCTCCAATAAAGCAACAAAAAACTGCTTAATAAAAGAAAAATTGGAAAGAGACGCACAAAGCACGGAACTTCATCTCAGGAACAGTGTTTCAATCTTTCCCTGAATAAGTGTCAACAAAGAATCCATGAATCTTGATTGTATTTCCCCGGAGTAATTGTTTAAAATTACTCTCAACCACAACATCAAATCAAGGTTAATTGTCCACACCTGTAAGTTTAGTTACTCAACTGTCACCACCCCAAACATCTTCTCATCTGTAGCGATAATGTAAGACGCATGCTGCTTCTGCAACAGCAGTAAGCTGATCTGTATTAAATTTGTAACCAAATGACAATTAGAAACAGTGAAATGAAGTCTTATGTATTGCAATTGCTGCATGACTAAAAAGAACATGTTAGAGAGCTAATAACAAATTTACATTGCAGGTAAGATGTCTGCAGACTGATGCAGCCTGACAATAACAATCAATTCTACTCCATGTACTAATTCAAAATGACACCTGATTTTTTTACACTCTGAAAATCTGTTTTAAAGTCTTAATGTACTCGAATAAACTCGGGAACAAGGAACCTTGTCTAAAAAATGGGACTAATCCTTGCTCAACTGAATCAGCTTATTTCCCCAATTCTTAGTAAGCACTTCAAACTTGGGCACTTTTTTCTAAGAAAATCAGACATGTAGGCACAAAAAAGACCAACTCATTCTGGAGCATTTTAAACCCTTCTGAGCTGCTTATACAAGAAATATTTGCTTAAATTTCCACTATTTATTGCATTATTCTCTGTTTCACTGAGTTGTGTCTTTTACTCTCTACAGCTTTTCAAATGTGTACAAGTACCAAATAAAAAACACATGTCTATATCTGTTCTGTTGTCAGGTCTGTCATTAGGTGACGAGCAGGGGAGACAACCAATAGGAATTGTTCTGACTGTGCTGGGTGTCGTGGTCCTGGACTTCTGTGCCGATGCCACAGAAGGTCCAATCAGAGCGTACCTGTTGGATGTAGCTGATACAGAAGAACAAGATATGGCGCTCAATATCCATGCCGCCTCTGCAGGTATGGGAAACTCAGAAGCTTTTTATGTGGTTTTAATGTGCAGACAACTTTTCTTCAAAGCCAAAACCTCTGTTTTTCCAGGTCTCGGAGGTGCAGTCGGCTACGCTCTTGGAGGTTTGGACTGGACGCACACGTTCCTCGGAGCAGTGTTCAAGTCCCAGGAGCAGATCTTGTTCATCTTTGCTGCCATCCTCTTCTCCATCTCAGTGGTGCTCCATCTTTTCAGCATCGAGGAACAGCAATACGCTCCACAGTCTGACAGGCTCGACCAGGTACAGACCTATGTCGTGGTTTTATCTGTGTGTTTAAAACAAATTATCTGTGATGTACAGCAGAACGTGATCCTCTGTTTTCCCTCCAGGAGAGTCCAAATTCCACCCATCTGCAACAATCAGCCAATGGCAGGACTGGACTTCTTGCCCCAAAGTTGGAAATGATCGGAGAAGATGATACCATAGAAACCTACGACCTCTACGATCCCTATGGAGACAATCATTCAGAGCATGGAGACATGGACATGGACTTCCTGGAGGTGGAGCTTGTGAGAAGTAAGCTGACATCTGGACAGATATGATCCAGGTTCCTGTCATATTTGACTTAACCTCTAAACTCCACTTGTTCTCTCCTCAGGTAAAAGTGACAGTGTTCTCGCCATGGCCGACGCAACTCTCGACCACATGGACCACGACATGTTGTTCTTGTGCCACCTAGAGCCGTCCATCTTTGCCGAACACATCTCACCCTATCACGGCACTCTCTCTAGGACCGGATCCTTCTTCAACCCGAACCACAGCAGCTCCCGTCCCCGACTCACCAACATCAGGCGCAGCAGCAGCACAGGAAGCGAAGACTTACTCCGCCCACACAGCGCCCACCATCAAACACACAATCCCAACCCCAGGATTTCTCGCCTCTCGGCTTTCTTACAAGAGATGGAGAACGATGATGGGCAGGAGGCTCTGCTGAACAATCAGCTGAATGAGCAGCGGACTCTGAATGGGAGACTGTTAGCCAGTGTTCCTAATGCCGACAGAGCGAGCTCGAACGGGCTGAGCTCTAAAGGACAGGCACACCGGGCTGGGATGGTCAAAGGTCAGAACCTTCATATGATGATAAACTCTGTACTAGAGCTGCAACAATTCAGTTTTCTGGGCCGGTTCCAATTTCCAATTTTTACCAATATCTGGCTTTGATCTTGGTCGACTCCGACTTTTAAAATAAACACCGGGTTATTGGGTCGTCCTTCATCACTGTAAATCCTAAAGTTCAATGCTCCAGATTGCTGAACGGAGCTATTCATAACAATAAAATGTCACTCAAACAGAATTACAGCATATATCTTTTATCAACCAGGTTAAAGAATCATGTTATGCTTTTTCAAAAGGATAATAAAACAAATTTGTTTGCTGCAGTTCATCAGTTTAAAATAAATTGCAGCTTTCGACATACAAACCAAAAACATGCATGTTAGGCTGCCCTCAGGCCCAGGCCTCCCTTGCAAAAGAGATTTGTGATCTCAGTAGGATTTGCCTGGTTAAATAAAGGTTAATAAATAAATACTGCAGTATTTCTCAAATGATTATGGAATTATGTATTTAATTATAACTATACCTTACAAAATACAGCTTGATAGTAGGAACTATTGAAATACTAAATATCTGCTTGCATATGAAGACGCTTGCATATGCTTGCATGTTCTGTGATGCATATGCATCTCAGAATAAACTAGTTTGATATGACCTTTTTTTATGGCAACGGGCATTATGAAGTGGAATCTTTCCAGACTAAAAACATTTGCTAGTACAAATTAGCTTCTTAGGTATGGTGTGTTCACTAATGAATTAAAAAATCTGACAATTCCGGACACTTGTTGAACAACTGGTGCATCACTACACTTTTTTTATGCGACTGTACGCATGTCGTGGCTACTTTAAATGTTAGACCAGTGCAGTGTCTTAATAAACTGATTTTTTCATCCAGCTGCCAGTACTGGAGCTCCCATGCGCCAGCCACGCCACCGTCACACCTTCTACCGCCAGCCGTCATGCACATTCTCCTACTATGGGCGAGTAGGCAGCCATCGTTACCGCTACCGCCGAGCAAATGCCGCTTTCCTCATCAAGCCCTCTCGCAGCATGAACGACCTGTATGTAGTGGAGGCCCGACACAGGAGGAGGAACAGACTGAGAACCAGAAACCGCAGCGGGAATACAAACTCCTCCAGCGGCGATACAGAGAGCGAGGAGGGTGAAGTAAGGGAAAAATCTACTAATTAAATGATAATCTAATTAAAGGAATTTTTCACATACTGAACAAAAGGCAGCAGTATGGATTATTTGGTGACCACATTCAGAAGTTGCTGTCTGATTTTGACAATATTATGTGTGTACGGTCAGGTTGAGACCACCGTACGGCTGCTGTGGCTCTCCATGCTGAAGATGCCACCAGAGCTGCTGCGTCTTTGTGCCTGCCACCTTCTGACATGGTTCTCCATCATCGCACAGGCCGTCTTCTTCACCGACTTCATGGGACAAGTCATCTTCCATGGAGATCCCACAGTATGAAACTTCTACAGTAAATGCACCTAGAGATGTGCCTTCATTAGCTTTAAGTTTTTATTTCAAATAATGCTTTTGTTCTTGTAGCTAAGCTATAAACTCTTGTAACTTTTTCTCCCAACATGCTCAGATAAGTGGCATGGCAAGGTGGTAGCTCAAATAAACACTTCACTTGCTTTCTCCTTTGCAGGCTCTTACCAACTCGACATCATTGGATAATTATCACAAAGGGGTTCAAATGGGATGTTGGGGGTTGGTTATATATGCTATGACCTCTGCTACGTGCTCAGGTAATAACTTTAAAGTTTTATAGATTTAAATGTAGATGGAAGATGTCTTGACCTGAAACAATGACGTTAACAGTCTACTAACCTTCGTTCCAGCTATACTTCAGAAGTATCTTGACAACTTTGACCTGAGCATTAAAGTTATTTACATACTGGGAACGCTCGGATTCTCAATAGGTAAGAACCGCAGCAGAGGAATGGAATTACAGTTTTTTGGACCTTTAGTACATTTTCTCTTTTTCATTCTTCATAGGAACTGCTATAATGGCAATTTTCCCTAACGTGTATGTTGCCATGGTAATGATCAGCAGCATGGGCATCATCTGCATGAGTATCTCCTATTGTCCTTACGCTCTGCTTGGACAGTATCACGAAATGAAAGAGGTACAGAAACATTGCTTTCAGTCTAAAACTCAAGTAATTTGCTTAATTTGTAACATCAGCCTGCTCCTAATTAGTTTGGACTGTGTTGGTTAAGTTCCTTTGGCACCTTTTCAGTTATTATTGAAGAGTGATAATTGTTATCCCTCCCTCCTGCAGTACGTTCAACACAGTCCTGGTAACTCCCGCAGAGGATTTGGCATTGACTGTGCCATCCTATCCTGTCAGGTTGGTTTGCACTTAATCTATTTCTCCTAAACTCTGAGTTTAAATTGTTGCTCAGTACAAAGCAAACCATATTCTGCAGTTTCAGTCGATAACTCATAGTAACTAATGACTCTTTACTGTGTTGTGATTTTGCAGGTGTACATCAGTCAGATACTGGTGGCTTCAGCTCTGGGTGCTGTAGTGAAGGCTGTTGGTAGCGTTCGTGTCATTCCCATGGTGGCTTCTGGGGGTTCCCTCCTTGGGTTTTTCACTGCCTGCTTCTTGGTCATTTACCCGACTCCTAACAACGGGTGAGAATACCATCTCTTCTCTCCCTTTAGACATGTTTACGTTGAGACTGTAGCACCTCAGTTGCAACTCTATGTTCTCTGTGGGAGGATTGGAGACAAAAATGGATGTAGCAGAATTTTTGTACATTCAGGATGGCAACAAAGTTGGACACAAATATACTTTCAGCTTTATTAGGAAGGGCCAGTACAGCAGAACAAACTTTAGTAAACCCCATTGTTACACTGTGTGGGCGAAGATGACTGTACGCCTCTAAAGCTCAATGTTGTGGCTGTTTAATTTTTTTCTTGCACCTAGGAGCTAGCAGTGACCAAGACCGTGAGGTTCTAACTATCTGCTAAAGTGAAGGAGACTAGTTTTCTGAAATGATAAACTGCAGAAAAATGAGTACAATCCTAATTTCTGTTACTGTTTGAAACCTTCCCTGTAGCTAGCAGCTAGCAAATTATCAAAAAGGTGAGTTGCTAACTGGTTGCTAAAAAGCTAGCTCCTTGCAAGAAAGTCAGTGAGACTATTTTCTAAAGGGCTAGACCGGTGCTTAATTTGAGCCGGATCCTGCTGGAACAGGATCTGGAAACTCTTATTTTGACAGGGTACTTCCGGTAACTGCTTGGATCCTGTAACTCTCCTAATAATAAAGTTATGAACAAATATGACTGCCTTGAACGAATAAAACTTATACTGGTTATGTAAACTGAAAATAATTACATAAACACTAATTTTAAACATAACAGTCACTTACTAGCATACAATCTGCCTCTTCAAGTAGCATTTATGCTTCAACCCTTAAAAAAATATCCGCCCCTAAAAAAGTGATGGGGTGAGTGCCTGGAGGTTTCACATGTGGAGTCGGACGAGCAGGGAGTCGTGCTCGGAACTGTCAAGCAAGGGTGGGAGGATGCTTGACAGAAGCGGAGTGTTTACAAATGTAGGTAAATGTAGATGTTTAACAGCCCGTTAAAATACACCAAAATACAGGAAATCGCAACTACTTTATTCAAAATTTTCTTGGGGAGGACCCCCAGACCCCAACAGCCCACCTGCTATTTGCGTTCCAGCATCGATCGGTTTGTAAATTAAGCCCTGTGCTAAAGTATCCATTCATTTGCAAAATGTAAACCTAACTCCCTTGCAGAACCTCTAAACCTCGTCGTCAATGTTAAATTACTCTTGCAGCTAGTCACAATTATGAACGTGCGTAGCAAGCTATCTATGCAGCTAGCAGCTGTCTGATAGTAAATAAGACTTTAATCATAAAATGCTGATTTGTTATTTCAAACTACAGCCTATGTAACCTAGCTGTCCTTGTGTTTCCCAGGGAGAGGGACTCCAAAGCGTCAGAGAAACAGGCCTTGACATCGCAGGAAAATCCCAACAGCAACGAAGGGGCGGTTACCATGGTGATAGAGAAACCTAGCTTCCTGACGCTCACCAAGGAGGGCAAGACTGCCACCACCACCACTTCCTGTCAACTGGAAATTGAGTCTTCTCTGTGATCTGGTCACGGAGTTGCTGCAGAAACAACTAAATGGACAGTTGAATTGATTACCATTGCACAGGACTTATTTGTGCCTCCATCTGAACTTTTTCATCAGCCTTCTCTGGAGCCAGACTCAAATCAAACTCAATTTATCAAACAGAAATCCTCCTGGTCGCAAGGCTTCTATAACCATAAGCAAAAGACCTCCCTCTGAGCCCTCACGGACCTTCAAAAGGCCCATCAGGAAGGTGAAATTTCTTAATTAATTAAAAAAAAGGTTGCTTCCATCTCTCAGGGCTTTTATGGAGGTGTTTTTGAGCAGCTGCATGGAGATACAAACCCTCACACACCTACGCAGTCAAATAAACACTTGATTTATGAACACTGCTGATGAACATTGTTCTTTAAAGCTGCAATCATTAAAAAAAATGCTGAAAATTGTTCTTCCACACCCTGGAGTTGACTTGATCAATCTTCGTCATACGGAAGCTGATGGATGTTTGTCTGCTGACTCACCAAAATAACCAGGACAACAAACTCAACTCTGCAGGACTTTCACCGCTTTCTGCGGCGGTAGCTTTAAGACTCTAAAAAGACTTTTGGAAGAAGCATTTCTGAGCTCAAAGCCTGGTTCCTGGTGAAAATCTTAGTCTTGTGTGCCCCAAGCTGATCGTAAATATCCTGCTTTTCTTCCACGTGGCTGGAGGGTGTTTGTTTCTTTTTTTTTGCATGACAAATATATTCAGCTCAGAAATATTGAGCATGAGCATAAAGCTGTCCACATGGAAGTTAAAACCACATTTACTGGGTAAAATATTTAAAGAAAGAGCAAGGTGCAATGTCTGCAGTACATGGGGCATTACAATCCCAAATGTAGTTTTACTGGTATTTCCAAAAGAGATTTGTTCTGACAGATCTTCACTAACCTACATGCTGCATGTTAGAGAAGCAGAGAAAACACAAACCAAACTTTATTTGCTTTTAACAATGCTGTTGGCACAATGTTTGTCCTTTTAACGGCTCGTTGGATTGAGCCATCGTTGCAAAGAGTGTTACAGGGTTCAGAAAGTAAAGCGTTTACTCGAGGTTGCCTTTTGCAGTTTGGAAATGTATTCGTTTCAGCAGGATGGAGTTATTGAGCACTGCTTCTTTCAGTAAAACGACACCAGAGATTGTGTTGAGATTCAGTTTTGTGACTCGTTTCTCAAGCCTCACTTGGAGATTAAAGTTGTTTTTTGTGTTGTTTCACTTAAATGGGCCAAATAATACATAAAAAAAAAATTAAAATTTGAGGACTTTGCAGTTGATTGTGGCATCTGTATGGATGTTTAGAGAAAAGGAGTTGTAAACTTAGAGGAGAAATTCAACAATGTTCAGTCAGGTCATATGGACAGTTTCTTTTGTTGTTGTTGTTGTTGTTGTTGTTGTTGTTGTTGTTGTTGTTGTTGAGATGTTTCATCCTTCATCTTCATCAGTCTGAGGAGCCACAACAAACTTAGTCCCACAACCAGCACACTCGCATAGTGGGCCAACCAATTTGTTGGTGATAAGATGGTTTCTGGGGCCCATCTTCTCCCCCGTCAACTCCTCTGACGTAGCCATAGCCAAAGTGGTTCAAGACTTCAAAATTCATGCTCAATAATCCAGGTTAAAAAAAATCCAACAATGTTCAGTCAGGTCATCTGGACAGTTTTCTTTTTTTGTTGAGCCATTTCATCCTTCATCCAAAGGACTTCATCAGTCCAAGGAGCCACAACAAACTGAGTTCCACAAGCAGCACACTCCCATAGTCGTTTAACCAGTTTGCTGGTGATAAGATGGTCATAAGATGGTTATCACCAGCAAACTGGTTGGTCCACTATGGGAGTGTGCTGCTTGTGGGACTCAGTTTGTTGTGGCTCCTTGGACTGATGAAGTCCTTTGGATGAAGGACAAAACATCTCAACAAAAAAGAAACCGTCCAGATGATCTGACTAAACATTGTTGGATTATTTTACCTGGATTATTGAGCATGAACTTTGGTGTTAGAGGAGAAATCTTTTCAATCTGGTGCCATGTGCTTATTGCTGAGAGCTGAGAAGTCACATTGAGCACAAACCTGATCAGATGTCAGAATTATTACTGTTTATCACCTAGCTTTGCTTTGTCCTGGCTGTAAGCTTTTAGCTTCTGAATGTGGGTCAGTTTGAGTTGAATATCGACAAACGTAGCTACAATTGGATTGGGTTGTGGCTCGATTTGACTGAGAGGTCGAGCCGGTTCATTATTGACATTTTGGGACAAAAACTAAAGCAGAACGATTTTCTCTGCTCTAAGTGGTTTGAACATTCGCTGGTCTCTATCATTCTTTTTTCCCCTATCTCTTTTTGGATTGTTTCAAAACAGGACAGTTTAGATATCACGTTTTACATTTTAAAGCGTTCCTGTGAACCTAAATGGCTCCTTACTTACTAAAGGGAAGGAGTTAGTTTTGGGGCTTGTGACTTAAAAGCAGGAAACAATATTGTCTGCTGAGGGTGAGCAGAAGCAGAAGTAACATAAAGGCTAACGGGGAAGTGAAATTGCTGCGTTTAAATTCACTTGAACTCTGTTGATATCCAAACAGACCGGTTTCTTCTAGGTTTGGGTAAAATCAGTTTCATTTTCTGGGTTGATTCTGCTCTGGCCAAGGTGGTGCTAAGACACAAAACAAAGCGAGCAAAAATAGGACGAAGAGGTTTGGATGAGAACATTTTGAACCCCAAGGGCCCTGATTATTGCAGCTTAAATCAATGGGCTCACGTGGAGTTCAAGGACAAACATAAAAGAGGCGATGGGGAGGTTTGCTTGAAGCAACAGCAATATGCATGAGTGAAACACCAAAACGTGACCGTACAAATCACTCTAGCTCGTTTCTTTTTTTCCCCAGCAGGTCAGGGATGCATTTCCCAATGCATGGCCAGATATCTGTTGTTGGACTTTTAAATGTGTGAAAAAAATTAAGCTAAAGCCTTGTGTGGGTCAGTAAATAAGCATGTGCGGTTTTTTTTTTCTTCATTTTTGCACAAGCAGTTATGATTCAGCACGACACACACAAGTGGATGAAAGCTACATGAGGCGGTTTGTAGACCTGAGCAAAATAATTCACGAGAACCTCCAGGCTGCAAAAACTTGAAGTGTTTTAGTAAAAAAAAAAAAAGACTGAATAAAGCAAGTGAAGATTTTCATACTTAATGTCCCAAGCTTTTTAAGCTGAATGTTCAGAAAGCACGGCCACTCGGTTTTGTCGTCTTAATTTTTGATTCCATCTTGTGACCTAAAATGTTCTTTAAAAAAGCCACAAGAAGTAATGAATGTGAGTTGATTTCAGTCGTAATCATTCTTGTTTTGATGTTCGACGAGCCTGACGTTGCACAGAACTTGCACAGAAAATGATTTTTTTAAAGATGCAGCAACTACAAAACAGTGGAGGACTGTTGCAAAAGAAAGAACGAACTGTGGATATTTATTTTTTGAGCTTGTGTGTCTGTGAAGGACATTTGATTTCCAAGAGACTAAAGTTGTCTTTGTGCTGGTGTGGGAGATGTTACAGAGTGAACTGGACTGTGTGGGAAAGAGATGGTGCTTTTTTAAATGCAAAGACAGGTGTGAAGGAAAAAGTAATCTCAGTGTTTATTTTTGATTCCTATTCTCTGTTAAGTTTATCTGGTTTACACTTAATGCTGGAAACATCAGCTGCAATACTGAAAGTTTAGTTTTTGTTCTTGTGTAAAAAAAAAAAAGCCTTTTTTTTTTGTTGTTGTTAATTGTATTTGTTCTTTTAGGCCGAGCCACTCAGGAGTTTAGTCTTTGTACTTTTTTCTGTGGCCGCCATGTTGACTCCATCATCCTGGACACTGAATGAGTGCGGAGACGCAACAAAGCTGATTTTGTGTGTGTTTGTGTTTTCCACAAGATGGCCGTGGGGACAAGACAGCCATACGTTTAGCCCAACCTGTTTGAATATGTGGCTCTGCCTCTAGTGCTTTGTGTGGAGGAGAAAAGATGCCTATACACTTTGATTTTCATAGAGAATAAATCAAGAATATTTAAAGAATGGGAAAGCAGAATATACAGTGTATATATAATATGCCTTGTTATTTGAAAGATCTAAATATACATATTTTCTTTTAGTTTCTTCTTTTTTGCTGCTATAAAAAAGATGATTATTTTTGTTAGTAGTTCTGTTTTCTATATAAAGTCTGTATATTTCTCTCTGTATTGCATAAATGATGCTTATATGAGTCTCCATAAGTAGGACTCTGGATGAACACTGTATGGAACCCCATAGACTGTATGGAACGTAACTTTAAAATCTGTTAAACTGAACAAGCGACGATGTGATTCATTTTTTTCACGAGTCCAACAATATAACGCAATATAAAAACAATTATGCATTAGTAGTTACAAAGTTTTGATAGTTCAGACAGCTCAACAGGACAAAAACAGCCCAAATGTAAATCTGGATCTAGTGACATTTTTAAAGTTGTCTCATCTGACACAGGGATCAGAACCACTGAACCAGAGGCGATCGTAGGAAGGTTGGTTTTAACCCCCCCCCCACCCACCTAATTTAACTAATTGTATTTATTTAAAAAATCTCATGAACTCTTCACTGCTTATAGTTGTAGGGAATCAACAGAGAGGATTTTTCATTAGAGTAGCTATAGTGCTGAAAATGAACCTGGGGTTACAGTATTTTTATTATCAATTAATAAAGATGAATAATGTAAAGTTCTAGCTTTACAGAACACTTGTTTGGTTTATAAGCTGGAATTAGATTGGGTTTATTTGACCTCCTAGGGTCACCAGTTATGTGGAATTTTTTATTAATAATTAGCATCTTACCTGTTGTAGGTAGCTCTTTGAACAATCTACTATAGGCTACATTTTATAGCCTTTTGTGCAAACAAGTTTGTATAAACTTTTACACTGATGTTAGTTTAATGTGAAACATTTATTTTGGCATAAATATTCTTACATCTGCAGGAAGTGCTTCTGGCTGCAGCAGACATGCAACAGCTAGCTGCTATTAGCACTTGCAATAAACTTTAGACGTCTAAATAACCATGTAATCCAAGACTGTAAGGGGTATAAAAGTTAATATTTAAAAAAAAAGGGTTTGTGTGGAGTTTGACTAAAGCTGTTTTAACACCCACTCTAGTTTTGGTCACACTCTTGCTAGCCGTTAGCTTGAAAGTCTGGACAGAAAAAATTTTTTTTTATTTTTTCTTCGATGAGGTGATTTAAAACTATCTACAACAGGTAAGATAATAATTTTATAACCTTTCAGCAGAATCCTTCTACAAAACACCTAATTATAACCAGTTTTCTGCTGTTCTAATTTGAAAATTCAAAGTTTTTAGTCACACGCAAGGAATGTTCTGGTTTTTTATTTGGTCAAAACTGAATCTAAATTACAGACAGTTGGAGTTCAAACTTGGACAGATTGAGGAAAAACATCAATTGTATATAAAGTTACAAACATCAAAATCAAATCTGTGAAATGATGAATATTTGTCTGTTAGTTGTTGTTGCTTTGGATAAACCGCTTTATGTTTGCAGCATCAACTTAAAGTTAATTTTTACAGTAAAAATATCTGAGCAGCTTCAGAACCAATGCTGGTTTAATCTGTAAAGAACGTGGCATCAAACTTGCACGAGAGTCAAATTAATATATATTCAGTCCCTGAACGAGATTTAATATTAATAAAAGTTTTATCAAACTAATGAAAATCCATTTAGATTTTCTATTCATTAGAAATAAAAATAAAAATCTGGATTCCATTCAGTTCTAGTGTTTAGCTTTAAAAGAACAATTTTAAATGGATTAGTTATTTTATGCAATTAAGGAAAAACAAAAAACATTAAAACAAACAAATTACAAAATCAGTTTGGTGTTCATGTTAACAATCAGATGTGTTCTGGACAAGATAAAACGACTCTGATCTTTACTGAGGCGCAGAGATTTAGATTCAAAACGACTTCATCAAACTGATGTGAAGAAACTTGTTGGTCTACGTGTTTTTTTCTTTCTCGCTGCGGGAAAACATGTTAACTCAGCATCTTGCAGGCAGCTCAGCTGACTGGTTTCCCATGATGCCGTGTGGTAAGACCGCTGAGAGAAGAAGAAAAGCTCTGCTGAGTCAGTACACACAAACACAACCTCGGTTCTTTCCATCCAGAGAAACCAGAGAGGGAACCTGAAACTCATGTGGTGCGTGTTTGTGTGTCTGTCATGCACTCGTGCATGTGTGTGTGTGTGTGGTCCTCACTCTGCTGGGCTTTTTACTTGGTCCTCACTAGACAGTAAATACAAGAAGGTGTGTGTGTGTGTTTATTTAGATATAAACAGACTCAATTCAGTTTTAACACCAAGTCACAACAGAAGTCATCTCAGGACACCGAACAGGACTCGGGACATTTTGCCAAGTAAACTATAATAACCAACTACTGCATGTGCCACAAAAACAAAGCCATCAAATATTGCTACTAAATTAACTTGGAATCAATAAACTGTCTTCCTGGTTGAGTGGTATTTTTTTCCTCCTTTTTTTGGTATGTTTACAGTTTTTTAATGACAAACATACTGTAACATACAAAACGTCGTGAATGTTAGAACAGTAATTTAGGATTCATGAAGTAATGGAAGTTAAGGGAGGAGAGAGGTTTTCTTAAGACATGAAATCTGTGTTTTTATTTAAAGTATATTAAGCTTTTGAAAAGTTGCTTCTTAAAAAAACACAACTTTAATATTGTAATGATGGCGTAGCTCTTTAACTACAGAATTGTGGGTTTGGTGTTAACATTTCCTAAGAACACAGTTTCAAAAATGATGAACTATTATTTTAAATTCATGAGCTGTTTTCTCTGATTAATATTTGAACTTTAAACCCCTGTCAAAGACTTGGTTTTAGCATATTAGGAAGCAGGTTCTCTTCAGGTACTATCAGACAAAAACATACATTTGCACAACACACAATGTTAATTTCATATTTGATTATTTATTACTTTTTAGTTTTAAGGCTGTGAAAAGCCTTAAACTGGTTTCCTTGCATTATATCAGAAAATATATTTTTTTACATTAATATTTAAGTTGCACTTGAGGCAGAAAAATACATTTGTGTGAAAAATTGAGTTTAGAAGTTTCAGCTATAAAATGATAATAAAACCAAATTCAAATTATTGAATGATAAATTATTTATTTACAAAAATGTCACAAGTGAATGTAATTTCCTTCCATTTTAATCCTACATGTAAGTTAAAGTGGTGGTTTTTGTTGCTTTTAAAATATTTATATACATCTGTGTTTCTTTGCAACAATTAGCAAACAAATGTAACATTTAGAAATCAGCTTCACACATCGATCTGCTCTGACCATCAGGGGGACAGAGATGGGGAGAAGTCCTGGTGCAGCCGCTACACAGCTGGGCTACCTGTGCAGCTATGGCGCCCCCTGCTGCACATCCCAGGTTCTGCACTTGGTCTGATGTGAGATGAGGCAGATCTGTGCTTTAAATTTATATATATATCATAATTTTATTATCAGGATAAATTATATTAGATTCTTGCAGATATTATCTCACTGACTTCATAAATACATTTTTTTATTAACATCATCTGGTTATGTATTCACTTAATCCAAGTTCATGTGTTCTCTGAGGGGATGTAACACTTTCAGCCAAGTGCACGACCTTGAATCTTTCTTTATTTCCTATTCCATAATTTAGTTACATTTTTCTCTTATTTAGAGTTCCAGAAACCCACTGTGAATAAACTTGCATGTGATTCCTGAGCTAGACAGACATCATTAAATGACAAAAAACTACTAATAAAGTAAATTGTTTTATATTATTTGCGTGCTCAAACTAAAATGCTGCTTTAGTGTTTCGTTAAGTCTCTTTTAGGCCTTCCTCATTAAAGCCAGTTTAGCGTAAAGCACCACCACTGCAGGCAGAAAGACATCTCAAAGACATTATATGCATTTAAATCTGTTGATAAGAGTGAGCCGCATGGACATAGTGTCCACGATGTTGTGGCTAAACAAGATGGCCGACAGAACACTAAACTAAAATACAGCTAAAGCAGCATTTTAGTTTAAGCTTTTCTCGTTACAGACAGCTTTTGTGGGGTGAGTACTATTTTTGTTTTAATGTGTTGTAGTACCCACTGAGCAAGGAGACGTCTAAACAACGTCTTTTTTAAGTCGTTTCTGCACGTCTAAATTGGGTCCCTTGGAGGTGCAGACTGTGACGTCTAAAAGACGTCCAGTTTCGACGTCTATCTGACATGTTAATATAGACGTCTTTTCCATGTCAACTAACTATATTTATTAATTTAAATAGGCTCTTATTATATTAAACTTATTTTAGTCATAAAAAATGCTGCTTCTATGCTATGCATATGAAAAGTCCTTTAAAACTACGACTGAAGCTAGGGAAATATTTATTTGACCACCCATTGTGCAGCAGGGAACATGGTCCTAGAAACAGTTGAATTAGAGTTTACAAATCACTCCTTGAATTTTTCATTTATCTTCTTTATTTAACACAATTTAAAGGATTAACAGAACAGTAGCGTAACACTGGTGGCAAAAACTAAAAAAAAAAAAGTCCACCTTCAGTACCTTAAAAAAAAAAAAACTACTTTAGAATTAACAGGGAGCTTATCAACTGGTGGCAAAACACAATGTACACAAACAAGCCAGCGATTCGTCTTCGTGTTTTTTATGGCAGAAAGCAAACAACTTCACAAGTACCGCCACCTACTGAAAATTAATGTGTTCAACGCGGAATAAAATTGAATAATAATAACAATAATAACGATATTCTTCAAATAAATAATAAGGTAACTACTAAAATTTGTAAAAAAAAAAAAAAAAAAAAAAAAGAACAGAGGAAATGCATGTTAAAAAAATGATGTCTATATGACCTCCAAGTCTTACGTTATTATGACGTACAAATGCGGTCATGGTTAGACGTCCAAAAGTGGACTTTGTTTGCACGTCGGGGGGACGTCCAGAATTGGACCAACGGACCCAATATAGACGTAATCTGGACGTCCATTAGACGTCTAATGTTTAGTGGGTAGTAAATGGGATGGAAGAGTACGGTGGCCTTGAAGTTTAAACTACAATTAAAAAACGCAACTACATATTAAAAAAAAACCACGACATATTAAAAATCGTAGAAGAGTCTTTGAAAATGTGTTCTAAATTCAAATTTGCGTTTTGTTTATACACGGATACTCGGGCGTTCCGTTGCCATGACCACCAGGCTGCGTTGACATTCAAGACCCGGAGTGAAACGCAACCAAACAACTTTCGTTCCCCCAGTAACACTACAACACCAACAATAATATAAAAAAAAAATGCTGACTACTGCTCTTATTATGCGCTTCTGAGAGAGATACGTGAATATATTTTTGAACAATAACACTACAAACATAATCTTATAACAAACCGATATATCTTAATCTAAAGGCCGCGGAACGGAGTTCTTCACAAACAGAACCAGTAGCGCCGGGGAACCGGAAGTACAGTCTGTAAACAGTGCGCAAGACTCCCTATGTAAACTAAAAACGATGTTTAAGAACACATTCCAAAGCGGATTTTTATCCATTTTATACAGCATTGGCAGCAAACCGCTTCAAATATGGGACAAGAAGGTAAGTAGGGGTCCGGAAGCAATGCTGTGAGATCATTTCGCATCAACATAGTTAGCTGTTTGTGCTAAAGCTAACACACGCGTCATGTTGATGTTCGGCTTACTTAAGTTAAATCTGTTAATTTGCACAAAACAGCTAATTTTTTAACGATTTTACCGCTTAATTTGTCTAAATAATAAACATTAGGTATTTTATGTGTCCATAGGTGAGAAATGGACAAATCAAGAGAGTTACAGATAATGACATACACTCCATTGTGTTGGAACTCGAGGGAGCAAACGTCAGGTGAGTTGTTGTGTTTAAATAATCGTAATTCATTTAGGTTTGACGCATGTAGGCCGATGTTCAGACGGAATACATCTTTACAAATTCTGAGGGATATCGGATATGTAAACAATCGGTCAACTGTAAAATCATAGATCAGTCTTATTCTCGCTTATCCGTTCAAGCAACATGCTCTGTATGTTTTATTCTGCTCACCTTTCTCTTCATCTCTCAGCTTGTTCTCTGAAATTAAGAAAATATATGAACATTTTTCTACAAAGCTGCATGATTTTTTTAAAACTAAACCAAATGAGAAATGTATCTTCAGTTCACTAAACTTAAGAAAACTGCAACCATCTAATCTTTCTACTTGGTTGATTATAGAAAAGGTCAATTATAAAGTTTTGCTGTTGTCTAATATTCCTAATGAGATAGTTGTGACACATGATAAACTACCAACTCTTCGGAAAAAGCATGTGTATGTAAGAGTATGTCAACAACCAGTGCCATTTTGAAACTGCACCTATTCACCAGTCACTGTGCGAGAGGCGGGGGACACCCTGGACAGGTCTCCAGTCCATCACAGACGCAAAGACAAACGAGACAAAAACATTCACTCTCACTCACATCTAGGGACAATTTAGTTCCTAACGTGTGTTTTTGGTCTGTGGGAGGAAATCCGAGTGAGACAACAAACATGAGTTTGTAAAAATGTTAATAAAATGTGTTAAAGATAACCTGAGCATGTTTGTGTCACAATTAAAACACGTGAAAGTAATATTTTAACTAAACATAACTTGGATAACACAATCTTTATATGAGATATTAGTTTTTATGAAAGGATGTGTAGGTGTCATGCATTCATGTGTTTAAATGAAACAACCCTTTTTCAGTCTTTGTTTTTAAAAAAAAAAAGTCATTCAGCTTGTTGTTTATGATGTTAGCAGTATTTTTTTTATATGTTAAATAAGTTTAGAGTTAATTTCTGCACGTCTGTGTTCCTCTCTTTTTTTTAATCATCTCTCTTTTCTCTGCAGCACCACCTATATAACATGTCCTGCAGACCCCAAGAAGACCCTCGGCATTAGACTTCCATTTTTGGTCATGATCATCAAGAACCTTAAGAAGTACTTCACATTTGAAGTCCAGGTATGGGTTCACAGACCTTTCTTGTCTCGTTGACACACTCTGCTTTATTATCCCAATTTGTTTACTCTTATTTACATCTCCCAGGTGTTGGATGATAAAAACGTTCGGCGACGGTTTCGTGCGAGTAACTATCAGAGCACGACTCGAGTGAAGCCGTTCATCTGCACCATGCCGATGAGGCTGGACGACGGCTGGAACCAGATTCAGTTTAACCTGTCGGACTTCACCAGGAGGGCCTACGGGACCAACTACACCGAGACGCTGCGAGTACAGGTGAGTACACAAAGACAGACAGATCATGCGATCACAATTTCTCTGTAAACACTAACATGTGACCTGCTCTGTTCTCAGATTCATGCAAACTGTCGAATCAGAAGGGTGTATTTCTCAGACAGGCTGTACTCTGAAGATGAGCTACCAGCTGAGTTTAAACTCTATTTACCCGTCCAGAACCAGAAGACAAAGGTGAACGTTGCACCCTTAAGTGGTTAAATTACCTGAAACATCACGACTTAGTGTGTACATTTGTCTCGTACTAAATGCTGCCAGACAAATTGTCCAACACCGTTTTCTTTTTTTTTTGCAGCAGTAGAGCTTCTTGAGCTGCGCCGCTCCCCAGACGTGACGTGAAGTTTATCTTTTGGATTAATGTGTAGATAGTAACTGATTGTGATTGTAAAATAGGGTTTTGAGGGACACTTTGTGTTGTTTCCTGCACAATAAAGGCTTTTAAAGATTTATTTCTTGTAAAATTTTTCATTTTATTGAAATATGGAACGGTAATGGAAGAGCGCAAATTGATAATTGCATGAATTCAGTAAATACCCATTTTAGATGTCAACCTCCCACACACGCTGGTTTAGAATTTACCTTCGTAAAAGTGCTAATTTTTAAAAGAATTTTCTTTTAAATAAAGTTGTTGAAATTTTCCTTCTCTAATAAATTAAAACAACATAATTATTGCATTTGATATCAATAAACTGTTAATTTCATGTCCCCCTTTAGAGGAATAAATGATTTTGGTGAAAATGAGCAAATTAGGAGTTGAACTGGGACCAGAAACACCCAAGTGTCGGTGTCTCAATTCGCCTGGTTCAACACTTAGGTACCAAGTTTAAGTGACGTTAAATATCACAATTGATTTATTGCGCAGTCAAAACTGACATGATGAAACGTGGTTTGTAAAAATGTCAATTACATAAGCAGTTTATTTTTTATTTTAACTTGAAAGTACACAAGATTCTGGAATGGTGAGTTCAGCCTCTATATCACTAAATAAGGAAGCAGCAAAGCCTAAAGAAAAACTGAAACTGGAGAACTTTAGCTCAAGACCACTTTAAGAAATACAAAACGTTAAAAACTGAAATGTTCAGCAGAAGATAAGCGAGTCTATCTTCAGATAAGTCCTAGTAACAGCTGATTTTGTTGTTTTCTGTCAATAGAATAGTTGCATATCAATCACAAGAGGAGTGTTTGGTTCAGAATGTACTCAGAAGTCTCACCTTGAAGAGTAATGTTCTTAAAATCAGTTAAGCATTCGTAAACACCAGAAGTGGATCCTCCACATGAAGTTTTTCTAACTTGAATTCAACTTCAACACAACTTCTCACAAACATCACAAGGAAACGGTTCCTCTCCTGTCTGAACTGCCATGCGTATTTAAATATGTGAACTTTCTTACATAATTTGGTTTTTGAAGGCAACAGGAAACTGCAACTAAATGGTAAGATCAACATGTCCTGTTCCATGTAAAAAAAAAAAAATACATACTTAATCCGTGCACTCAAACGTATGTATTTAATACAGGATTTAGTACTTTTTGTTCATTTTCTCTTCCATGCCACCGTGCTGCATCTGCGTTTTCTCATGATGATGCTCTTGTCTAAAGAACGTCATCCTCCTCCCAGAAAGTTATGACACTCAAGTTGACACAGTTGCTGTGTCAACTCTTGAAACTGTGCCTGCAGTCAACCTACTTCACATATGGGGAGCAATATTATAGGCAGAAACATGGGTGTGCTATGGGGTCTCTAGTTTCTCCTATTGTTACGAACCTGTACATGGAGGAGGTAGAAAAGAGCCTTGACGTCCTTTTCAGGGACACCACCAAGTCATTGGTTCAGGTATGTTGACGACACCTGGGTTAAAATTAAATCTCAGGAAGTCCAACATTTTACTGACCACATCAACTCTGTGGATAAATACATCAAATTCACACGAGAAGATGTAAAAAATGGCAGACTGGCTCTCTTGGACTGTGAGGTCTGTTTCTGATGGACATTTGGAAACTGAGGTGTACCGCAAACCCACCCACACAGACCAGTATTTGCAGTTTGACTCCCATCACCCTTTGGAGCACAAGTTAGGAGTCATCAGGACTCTGTACCACAGAGCAGACAGCGTCCCCACTAACTCAGGAGCCAGACAGAAGGAGAAATCCCACACAAGACAGGCTCTAGAGCAATGTGGATATCCTAACTGGGCCTTCCTGAAAGCAGAGAAGAAACCCAAACAGGACTCCAGTCAGCCAACAGGTGAAAAGGAGGAACCCAGACCCAGACCAGTGGTCATTCCATATGTTGAGGGAGTATCACAGAAACTGACATTTATTTCCTAAACATAACGTCCCAGTGGCTTTTAAACCTGAAAATATATTACAAAGACCGGTTCATCCCAAAGATCCAGTCCCCCGGCACAGAGTAATATTGTGTATGTTGTTCAGTGTCAGAGCTGTGATCAACAATTTGGTCGTTTGTTTTAAAGGAAAGAATGTTAGTACTAATGCATCCATAATATAACCTCTGACCAAAATTCTCTGACAAACTTTCTAACCAACTAGCATCAGCTGTGCCATTTACTTCCACACAGTTTAGATTACAAGGGTTTAAAAAAAATAATCATCCAACATGAACTTTTATCTCCCACAAAAACGGAACGACCATCATCGTCCAACTGCTGATCAGATCTGTCACTGTCGAGCTCTGTAGATCAAAGTGAGACAAATGAATGGTTCATTTATTTTATTTGACTTTGAATAACACTTGAATTAACCCCATTCAAAATAAAGAAAACACTTTGAAAAATGGTTTCATTACATTTGGACAAAACCGAGAAGACACACCACAAATTTATTTACTGTACAGAATACATGAAAAAAAAAAAAAACATTTCTTCTGTTTGACTTGAAATGCTTTTATTTTATTTTTTACTGCAGGCACTTATTTTTGGTCAGGAATGCTAATATTCAGTTTTGTTTTGTGGAAACTGTTTTGATGGTTTGAGCTTTTTCCCTGAAATCTGAAGCAACATTTTGTTTTTCAGATGAGAGGTTCAAAATCATGTTATTGATCTTTTTCTTGAGAAAAAAAAAAAATCAATAAAATCTTAAACATTTTTATTTCAATCTGCAATGCAATAACTTTACATGAAAGTGTCAGATTTTGGCAACAATTACAGCAAGAAACCAACTAAGAAACGTTTTAGGAATCCAAACAGTGAATAAAAAAAAAGTACTATCTTTTGGACTTCCACACCTCAAACCTTCAGTAATCAAACTCGAACATAAAACTTATCCCAACAAAATGTGTTTTCATTTCATTTTCAATGCAACTTAAATACATTCATAAAAATCTATTGCTTTAGTTCACAACATGCACATTTTTTAAAGTGCAAAAAAACGATTCATTGGTTCAAAAAGTAAATCAAATACAGCTTCAAATCACGGAGCACAATATAATAAAATTAAACAAATCAAGTTTTTAGCCGATTTCACAGATAAATCCGATGCAGATCAGACGTGTCTGTAACGTTACACTGATTTATGGTTTTACTGAAGAAAGATGATTGTACAAATTCTCTCACAAAATGTCTCGGTACCTTTCACTCCTTCTAGGAATGGGTCCTTGCTTCCTACAATCATTTTTACACAATTTAATATATATTACATATATAATACTGTATTGCATTGAAGAGGGAGGAATAGCTGGAATTTATACAGAATGCACGTAAAAAAAAAAAAAAAAAAAAGTCATTAGGGTTTTATCACGACCTGGAAACGTAAACTGCAAATGAGCTGCTTAAGATTGACAACCACCAAAACCCCCCAGTTTCATACAAGCTCCTGGTCTAGCTTGTTGCGTGGCAGTGATTCATGTTTGTTTTCCAGCAGTTCTTCTTTGCAAGGAGCTGCTCCCACTTCTCTGTCTGTTAAAGTGCTTTTTAGACATCGTTGCTGAGCTCAAACACTTTTTAACTGAGCAAAAATGTGCGTAAAATTAGAATCTTATTCCAAACGAACGAAGAATCGGTTCCTTTAAGAGACATCTAAACGCTGCTTCGGTTCGAATCCAGGATTAAAGACTTAAAGGGAATCTGCATTTTAAAGTTTAACATTTGAAAGTGAACTTGAGCTCAACAACAAGCACGTCTATTTTTATTTATCCTATTAAATGTCCATTCTAATGTGGTCCGGTTCTTTGCAGTGTAAACACTAGAAGCTGGTTCAGCTTATTGTCACCTTAAATAGCTTCACCTTTTCTCATTGGCTCATCTCACAGGTGTGTAGGAGAATAGGTGTGTGTTTTTTTCAGTTTTATGTAGTGTTCCCATGATGGATGACATAATAGTCATGAACATACATCAACACAGCGACAGGCTGTCCAATAATGAGTGACATCCACACGGCTGCATTGCCGTTGTTCCCATTCAGGTAGCGACCCACAAACCAAGCCAGAGGAACCTGAATGGAGTGAAGGTCAGAGGTTACACGTCAGGGTCTGATCACAGGTCTGTGCAAAACTTCATAGACTAACTGAGAATACATGACCAACGTCTAAGAGACGTTTACAGCAGAACTAGATGATTTTGTGTTTACCTGAGCCATCATTCCCATAAAGGCCCAGAGACGGAACATCTTCAGAGGAACACTAACCAGGTACTGAGGAGGGAAAAGGAAAGTTGAACACATTTTTCCAATTCAGATTATCATAAACAACATCATGATGTTACTGTGTCAAAAATCGTATCTGCAAGTAAAAATGGGCCTGCTGTCAGTTTTTATTTTATACGTTCTATAAAATTCAACCACTTTCAAAATCTTTTAAACAGAAATGGAGGTTCACCACCAACACATCCCAAAGTAAGTGATAAACTACAAACTTTACATTCATCTTTTAGTTTCCAGGTTTTTTCCCCCCTCTTCATTATCTTCAAAGTTGTTCTTTGTTTCAAACAGAGATGGGTTTTAAATAAAAAGTGACAGAGACTAGGCCTGTCACGATAATAAATTTTGCTGAGCGATTAAATGTCTCAGAAATTACTGCAATAAATGATAATATTGTTTGAAACTTGACAATAATTACTAATTATTGTCAAATTTAAGAAGAAATGTTTTTGTTTTGCATGGAGTACCTTTTTTAAACCACCTGATGGCAGTATAAGACGGTTTGAACCGAAGGATGGATAGTGAGAGAGCGAGCAGCGTGTCTCTAAGAAAAAAGGGAGGGAGGCCCCTTGATGTGTCATGGGCTGTCTCTCTTCAGTTCTCAAAATGGCGGACGCTCGGTGTGGTTTGAGCTCTTTAGCATAGCATTTTTCCCACAAAGCTTTTAATAAGAATTAAAAAAAAAAATAAAAAATCAGTAAACAAGTTCTCAGATTCTTTTTGCTGTGAAAAACTTTTTACATGAAGGCACAAGTTTCAACCGTCAATTTTGGAGATTTGACAAGATGGAGGTTTTTTTTTCGCCCCTGAGGTCGGCCCGTTAGCTTAGCTTCTCAGCTTAGCTGCTTTTAACGATCCAAAAATGAAACTTTGGACGGTTAAAACAGATTTTAAAGAGAAAAGAGAAAGGGAGGGGTCAGTGACGAGCACCGCAGTTGAGCTTTTTGTCATCCAGTGTCTTCAGTAGAAAGAGACACGAAGAAACGATAAAGCTGATAAATGAAAATGAGGTTGATAATTTTCATTTATCATGTGATTAATTGATTTATTGTTTATCGCGACAGGCCTATGAGAGACACTTCAACGTCTCACGCACATTGTTCATCTTGGAGAGATGATGGCGGGAACAGGTGATTAAAAAAATGCCAGATGACCTAAAGTTTTCTTTACCTCGTGGAAGAAGGCAGAAACCAGGAAAACGGCAGTCTGAGCCATAAACTTGTTTGTCCCCTTCTTCAGCATCGGCTTATAGAAATGTCTAAAAACAACAACAACAAAAACATTCATCATGGGGTCATGTTAATAAAGCTAAATCTCATAAAGGGTGGCACAGTGAGGCAGTGGTTGCCTCTCTGAGAAGATCACAGGAGTGCCTCCCAGCCTGAGACCTTTCTAGTTGGAGAAAACATCTTTTCCCAGTGCAAGCATGTTTTCTTTCCAGGAGACCTCGTTTTTCCCCACAGACTAAAAACATGCATGTTAGGATAATTGGTAACTAAATTGTCCATAGCTGTGAGTGTGAATGGACTTTTTTCCTGTCCCCTCTGCCTCTTGCACAGTCACTGCAGGAGATAGTCACCAGCTCCCAATGACCCAGAAAGGAGAAGCAGGTAAAGAAAATGGATGGACGGATACATTTTAAAAACTCTCATGCTTACCTCAGACACCACTTGTGCACTGGGATATTCCAGTTGGCCCAGAAATATGTGACGGTCTCAGAGTTCCTGAAATGAAGAATTAAGAAAAAAAAAAGCAAAGATTTGTGAAAACTTCAGAAGAAAATGCTGAATATTTCAGTTTGTCATCTATAGTAACGTGTGACACACGCTCCGTTTATCTAAAAGGCTTCCCTAGAAAAAATAAAAACACCCAGTAACATTCCTAAATGCAAGTGGTTCACTGGAATGGTTTAAAATCCAAGTCTTTCAAGACTTTTGATCAGAAAGATAAAGAATGCCAAAAAAAAAAAAAAAAAGGTTTTGTAACAGAGTGGTACATTATTTCAAATACTCCAGTCTTTGTACAATTTCATTAATGCGATGCTTCTCAATTATTTTCTGTTGTCTCCTAAAACGGCAAGGCAGCCATATTTGTTCATAACTTTATTATTAAGAACGCACACAACAAAATGAGAATGGTGGAGAAAAAAAAAGAAGAAAAAAAAAAACACCTACTCCCTGCGGCAAACAAAAAGCATGTTTTCTAGGGTCACATGCGCTCCCCCTAGCATTGCCCCGGGCCCCCCAAGGGGGGTGCGCCCCACTATTTGAGGACTGCATTTTTTGGAACAAGCACCTGTGATGTGTTGAGGGTCGTCCTCACCAAGAACAATAACAAGTGAAAGTTTTGTTGGCAGTGATGAGATCTTCCTCACCGCTGAGCGAGAACCAGTAAATAATGACGTCAAACCAGCAGTGTGTGCTTCAGTGATACTCGGGTCATAAAATGACAACTCACCGCTGCGCTTTTTACAGAAAAAGAAGCTCAGCTGTGTGTAAGTCATGGTTTCTCTGTTGCAGAACTTTTTTTTTTTTCATGCTGTATTTTGAGAATAAATCAAAAGTTTTGTAAGAATCTACATCAGAATGATGATTTCCTTAGGATCCTCAAAAGGTGGGGTAGTAAAAATCAGTTTTCAGTGACAGTTTGCACACAAATCATATAAACACATTATTGCCATTAATTTTGCTTGGGACAATATTTCCAATTATTTAAAAAGTGGTTTCATCTCGTTATGGACGTCCCTTCAGAGTGACCTTTAATCTGCGCAGTGGTTTGTTTGCACATGATTATACGTCAGTGATCCACACTCACCACCAGTCCCTGTAGAACTCCCTGTCCCCAAACTGCAGCAGCTCCGCCACGAAGTTCATGGTGGAGTGGAAAAACCAATAAAAGAATATTAACCATATAAGATGATTAGGGACCTATGAAAGGAGAGAAATGAGGAAGAGGAGGTGTATAAAGTACGTGATTGGATCATAAAAGGTCACTGATGAGCTGCTTGTGGCGATACTCACAGCTAGCTTCAGCAGTCGCTCTACCATCCGAGAAAAGTCCATTTCCTGTCAGAAACAACAAATTAAATCATTAATTTTCATAACAAGACACTATGTTTTACCTTACTCCCTGCTTATTTTAAGTTCTTCGTGTACAGGGACACTACTGACATGGAGGTGTGAAATTAGATTAGATAGAACTTTATTGATCGCTTTGGAAGATTCCTTCAGGGAAATTAAAAACTAATTTGGGAGCAGAACTAATACATGAAGAGTTGACATACCTGGAATGGTTTCATCGAGTTCTGAATAGTGGGAACCATCCACTGAAAGATACATTAATGATTTTGGTCATTTCCATCAATTAATATATTATATAGGTATGGTATACTATATATACACACTGCTAGGCTATTTTATAATAATAATAAATAATAATAATAAATAAAATTGAAAGTAGGCAATGCTGAGTTTGTCTTACCTGTTGTATCAATCCCACCAACAACTGCATGAGAAACAGCTGCAGTAGACAATGAGTTACGATTAAAACAAACCATCCATGTTCACATGTTGATTCAACTTTATTAGATCATTTATTGACTTAAAAAAAAAAATAATTACATGAATCACTCTTACCATTTCAAAAAGTCTTCTCAACAGGAACCGTTTGCGTATTCGAGGAGACCGTGGGAAATTGAGCTGGTAGCAAAGAGTCGGTGCGCAAACAAAGTAATACATGTCTGAAGGCAAAAAAAATAAAAACAAGACAGTTCAGATGGTTATTTAGCAATTAGTGCACATACAAATACTACAGTTATAAGATATATGAATAAGATCTGAGAGTTTAAAACTTAAACATTTAAAACTGTAGATGAAACTCTGCTTGTGGAGGAGGTAGTGTCAGCCACGAACATCATCTGAACAGGACCGCCAACTCAGACCTTAAATCCTCTAAAGAATAAATCTCCATCTCTGACTCGTGTCGCTCTTCCAACATGCGCAGTGCCTGATTTTAACTAATTTAAGCACAGACAGCTTCACCTGGCTGCTCAGGTTCTGTAAATGTTGTCATCAAGTGAAGCTGTCATTTTATGACGAAGGAAGTGTAACTACCTAGACACCAGATCAGAGTCAGAGAGGTTTATCCTCATTTCAGCTACGCATAATTACATATTGAAACGAAACAGCGTTCCTCCAGGATCACGGTGCAACACAGAACATAACGTGCAAAAGTGCAGATACACAACAGAACAATAAATACAAACAGACGTCTAACCTCATCTAAACATTACAATCTAAAGTAATTATGAGACGTGTTGATTAGTACATGTGTAGGTGGTACATGAGGTAGAAACATGTTCTGATGAGGTTAGCAGCATAAAGTTTTCCTATTTTTATAGCAGCAGAGATAAAAATTGTGTAAGGTGCAACAATGATAAACGAGCAGATTGAAAAAATGTACAAGTAAAAAAGTCAAACAGTACAACACAGTAGTTGTGTGTATTTAGATTGTGTGAGTTAGAGTCCTTCATGCATGTGGGTGATAGGGTCCATCCTGTGTGTGTGTGTCTTTCAGAGTCTATCATGAATGTGTGTGCCAGAGTCCAGAGTTGAGGATACAACTACACATCAAGATGATATACAGTTGGCTAATTTGCTGTAAATTCATACATATGGCATTAAAGTGTTAGAAGAGTTGGTTCAATAAAACACGTTCTTCATGTAACGTGTTTCAGGTAACCATTTTCAGATATTGCAGGTTTCTATAAAACATTTGATTATTTTTCCCCACTCAGATGTGAATTTTGTGAATGACTACCTCTGTGTGTGAGGTTGCCTGGGTAGGAGACAAGAGAATGAACTGCCGACCCGTTAGACTGTGGCACATCTGGACCTGGAAAACAAAAACAAACGGCAAAGAAAATTAACATGAATTTCAATTATTCCAGTCATCAATTCAATTTCCTAAAACCTTGGGTTTACTTTGTCACCACTAGATGGTAATACAACACAGTAAAAAAGTGACGTCCGTGTGTCCATGTGGATCATTTCATTTAGAAGAACTGAAATATGAACCTCAGTCAAAACTCCTCTGCCCCTCAGCGTGCTGAAACACTTACATGAATACGACCGCGTTAATCTTTTGGCTTTGGCTTGTCTGATTTCTCTGCACCACTTGTTGGAGTCTTGATAAGAGTAAAGCTTGAGAAACAGCATTGAGTAGATCGCCAGAGAAATCACACCACCCACTGAAACAAACGGAGACACAAGAGCCATTAGCAACGAAAATCCACATTTATTTCTGTCACCACAGAGGCACAAAAAAGGATTCAGTACTTCACAGTTAAACAAATAAAATGTACAACCATTGAAGGAAACATACCTGGGGTTATGGAGGTCACAGAGAGGACGGTGGCAGAAGGAAAGACCAGCAGACATGTTAGGTTGAAAGTGTGAAGAATCCATCCTGTAGTTTCAGAGATTGTTCCCTAGAAATCATCATGGAGGAATACATTTTGCAAACATGTCCTTTCTTTCAGATAATCACTGTTTTTATTTGTTGTCAACAGTTTATTCTGGATCAGCAGAGGTTTTTTTTATGATTTAGTTGCTGTAGCGTTGAACTGCTCCATGTACTAACCATGCACCACCTTTTTAAAGTTTATTTAACAAAGACGAATAACAAGAGTTATTATCAATCAAACCTACTTAGTTTACAATGTATAAAAACATTTTACTAAATCGGTCAGAACTTAGTGTTAATTATAAAAACCGGCACATTATTGTAAAAACTTACCACGGCCAGACGCCTCTCTATATACAAGGCTGATAAGATGAACATGTTGGACACTAAATCACAAAACAGAAATGGATTAATGAACTTGGTTTATGGAAAAATGTTAAGAATGACTATTTGTTATGCCGTTTAATACAGAAAATAGTGTAGTTGGTTAGTTGTGACCATTGAAAATGATGCTTCTCTGAGTATCTGGAGCTTTAAAACATGCACAGCAGCCTTTGGTGCCACTTAGGTAAATATACAAGTCAAAAGTTATTACTTCATAACTCTGATTTTAAAACCATAAACATGGTTTGAACCTTGGAGTCTCAGGATGTATTTAGCGTCAGATGCATGTGAATATCTTTTTAAATAAAATGCATAACTTGGCATTGAATAGTAGTAGAGTTGCAGTACAGTCAATGTCCCAGGGTTCAGATTTTTGCAGAACCTGGTTCAATATAAATACTACTAAAATATATGTATATTATTTAATGTTTTGTGGAAGTGAAACCAGATCTTATGTGTTCACAAGAAACCCATTATCAGAGTCAGAGTCAGAGTTTCTTTATTGTCATTCGCACCTCATGTGGTACATGTGGTGGAGCGAAATTATGTACGCAGGGTCCCAGTTACATCCAACAATAAAATGTATAAGAAAAACAGTAATAACATCTAAGATATGAACTAAGAAAAACATCAACTAAATATACACTAAGCACTCATAACATAAAACATTGAACATCAGCACAAACATGAACATGAGTCTGTGAGCAGATGTGCACGCATGAACACATCAACATTGAAACAGATCAGCAGCAACATGAAACAGATCAGCAGCAACATGAAATGGTTTTTCACAGTGATTATTCTAGTTAGAGATTCATGAGTCTAACAGCCTCAGGGTAGAAGCTGTTCCTCAGTCTAGTGGTTCTACACTTAATGCTCCTTAACCTCCTTCCTGAGGGGAGTGGGGCAAAAAGTGTGTGTGCTGGGTGGGTGGGGTCCTTCATGATGCAGGTGGCCCTCTTCCTGCATCTGGAGGTGTAGATGTCTGTGATGGTGGGGAGACTGATTCCAACAGATTTCTGTGCAGCCTTCACCACTCTCTGCAAAGCTTTTCTTTCTGCAGCTGTGCAGCCTCCATGCCACACATTGATGCTCGAGCACAGGATGCTCTCCACTGCACACCTGTAGAAGGAGGTGAGGACTGAGCTTCCCAGACCAGCTCGCCTCAGCCGTCTGAGGAAGTAGAGTCTCTGATGAGCTTTCTTGATCAGGCTGGTGGTGTTGTTGCTCCAGCTGAGGTTGTCATTCATGTGTACACCCAAGTACTTGTAGCTGGAGACCACTTCCACCGCAGATCCTCTTATGTTCAGTGGGGTGTAGATGTTTTTGTTCCTTCTGAAGTCCACAATCATCTCCTTTGTCTTCTTCACATTGATGTGAAGGTTATTCTCTCTGCACCAGCTCTCCAGGTGTTCCACCTCTTGCCTGTAGCTAGACTCATCATTGTTTGTGATGCATCCCACCACCGCTGTATCATCTGCAAACTTTACAATGTGACAGCCTGGATGGGTAGCTGCACAATCATATGTGAGCAGAGTAAACAGAAGTGGGCTCAACACACATCCCTGAGGAGAGCCAGTGCTGAGGGTTATGGTGGAGGAGGAGAGGTTGTGGATCCTCACTAACTGTGGTCTGTTTGTTAAAAAGTCTAGTACCCAGTTGCAGATGGAGGGGCTTAGTCCTAGTGTGGATAGTTTGTCCATCAGGGTTTGGGGGATCATGGTGTTGAAGGCGGATGTGAAGTCCACAAAGAGCATACGGACGTAAGAGTTTTTCTGCTCCAGGTGGTTGAGTGCAGTGTGGACCACAGAGGAGATTGCATCCTCTGTTGATCGGTTCTCACGGTATGCGTACTGATGAGGGTCCTCGTTGATGTTGATGGTTGTTTTGATGTGAGTCATGACCAGTTTTTCGAAGCATTTAGCGACTATCGGGGTGAGGGCCACTGGCCGATAGTCATTCAGACCAGTCACTGTAGAGCTTTTTGGGACTGGGATGATGGTGGCAGTCTTCAGGCAGGTGGGAACTGTCTCCAGGGTAAGTGAGGTGTTAAAGATGTCTGCCAGCACCTCACAGAGCTGATCAGCACATTCCTTCAACACTTTTCCGGGGATGTTGTCTGGGCCAGTTGCTTTGTGCGGATTAATCCTCCTGAAGGTACTCCTCACTTCTGCTGAGGTCACGCTGAGATGCTCTTCATCCGGTGGCGAGGTGAGTCTGGTGCTGGGTGGTCTGTTCGGGTCTTCAAAGCGTGCATAGAACTTGTTGAGGGCATCAGGCAGAGATGGGTCTTTGGGACATTGTTCGCTCCTTCCTTTATAATCTGTTATGCACTTAATGCCCCTCCACATGCTCCGAGGGTCTTGTGAGATGAATTGACCCTCGATCCTCTTTGCATATGCGGCCTTGGCCCTCTTAATACCAGCAACCAGCTCTTTTCTTGTCCTACTCAGCTCCTCTGAGTTTCCAGACCTGAAGGCAGTGTTCCTGGCTTCCAGCAGGGTACGCACCTCTGCATTCAGCCAAGGTTTTCTGTTTGGGTAGCTTTTAACATTTCTGATAGTGGAGACTGTGTCAGTACATGTACTAATGTAACCCAGTACTGAGGATGTGTATTGGTCAAGATCAAGCGAACCTCCATTTTCAGCAGCTTCTCTGAAAACCTGCCAGTCTGTTCGATCAAAACATTCTCTCAGTATGGGGCCACTGTCCTGGCTCCAACATTTAACTTTCTTTTGTACCGGTCTGGAGCGTCTCAGCGGGGGCATGTAAGCAGGAGCCAGGAAGATTGAGATGTGGTCTGACAGTCCTAGGTGGGGGCGGGGTTCGGCTTTGTATGCATCTTTTACGTTCGTGTAAACACGGTCCAGCGTGCGGTCTCCACGTGTCGGAATCGTCACATGCTGATTAAAGCTTGGGAGACAGTCCTTTAGATTCACGTGGTTAAAGTCTCCGGCTACCACGTAAAGAGCTTCGGGGTGTTTGTTCTGCAGCGAGCTGATGATATCATGTAGCTCCTGTAGTGATTCATTAGCATTAGCGTCCGGAGGAATGTAAACAACTGTGATAAAAGTCACTGTGAACTCTCGGGGTAGATAATGTGGCCGACATTTCACTGTTATTTGCTCCAAAGCCTTCGAGCATGAGCTATTTACAACAGTACAGTTCGTGGACCAACTCTTACTCACGTAAATACATACTCCGCCCCCCCGTGATTTCCCCGTTAGCTCGCTGCAGCGGTCCGCTCGAAAAAAAAGTCTGTCATCCAGCTGGAAGACTGAGTCCGGCGTTTCACTTGTAATCCACGTTTCCGTGAGGCAAAGCACTGCACACTTCTTCATCTCTTCTGAGGCGCCCGCTCTCAGACGAAGTAAATCCACCTTGTTGTCCAACGAGCGGACATTTGACAGAAAGAGAGACGGCATGGGGAGTTTACCGGCTTTAGCGTTAGCTCGTAGCCTCACCATAACCCCCGCCCGGCATCCTCTCCTCTTAAGCCGGGAGCAGCGCTTCCTCTTCTGCCCGCTGGAACGCCTCTGCTGCAGCTTCCAGGTAGATGACTTTAAGATCTGCATTCTGCCGAGCGTAGCTTTGAGTTTGTTGCTGATTTCTGCTATATTTCGTGGCAAATCCGCTCCTATTCTCATCAGTTCGGTTCGGCTATAGTTCACACGCATAAATCGCGCGGAGTCAGGCACAGAGTCAATATCAAAACTTCTAAAAACTGGGATGGTACCGGGAGCCTGTGAAGCTGCAACTGCTCTGAGCGCGGCCATCTTAATAAACCAATAAACCAATAATAAACCGGCCATCTTATGAAGGTGTGAACTGAAATACTTGGTAACCTCCATGTGCGACCAGTGACCCAGAATGCATCAGTGTGCCAGGTGTAAACAGACAAGAGTTATTCATTTTCTCTTTACATTAATGCAATAAAAGAAAAAGTTTCAAACCAATAATTAGGCAAGCTGCCGGCCAGCTGTAGGGGTCCTTTAGGAAAAGCGACACCACTTGAATTGGATCTACTAAGATGCCATACCTGGAAAAGAAGATTAAAAAAAATGTATTCTCTGCTCATAATTCCATTATGGAGTTGCGAAGTTAAGTAATGTCTGCGGATTTGGTCTTGTTGTGATTGTATAAAAGTTACAATAAGATAAAATTAAAACAAGAAACAAAATGATAAACTGAGGTAGAAACATTAACAGGTCAAAAATTACTTTTCAAAACAACAGTTTACATAAATGTCCTGTATTAAGTCGTACACTAATTGAACACTTAAGCATACTCACTTGATAATGTTCTCCAAGAAGAGCCGTGCATTACTAAGCACCTACAAATCAAAAAGGGCAAAAAGTGAGTTAAAAAGAGTCAAAAATAAAAAAGATAATAGTTTATTGCTGTTTTCTCATGGCTTTTTTTAATTTTATTTTACCGAGTATGGAACGTAAGAAGCTAAAAAAAAATGCTTAGCTTTAAACTTGGCTTATCTTTTCCCTTTTTACATGATCTGTTTGTGATTAGCCTGCAGATTTAACCACATATGAAGCCAGTTTCAGCCGTCAGCTAGAACAGAAACACACATTTAAAAGAACAAACGGTAACAGCCCATAAAAAAACCACTCAAACTCAGGTGGACAGCTGAGAGAAATCCATCCTGCTGAGTCATTTTTGTTTGTGCAGATCAGATCTGTTTCATGCCTAAACGTGGCAACACCTTTCTGCTGCCACCCCCACAACTACTACCACATCCTGCTGCTGCCATGCCCTCTGTTAAGAAACTAAAAAGTTTATGATTATATTTGTATTTAAGTTCAGGGTCAAAGTCCAGCTTCAGTGAGATAAAACTAATTACCCATTGAACTTTGAAGGCAAACACTGGTGTATTTTCACACATTCTACTATACTTTTATGGCAGTAAGTTCACTGTTGGAGAGAATTATACCTCCTGCTGTCATTGGGTCAAACATATCCTTGAGGAGGTCTCATTAAGACATCAGGGTGGGGTCAGTGGCTTATAATAAATTCAAGAGATCATTTATGCCCTCTGGTTTGCAAAGATCATGCAGAAATATTGATCGAACACAAACCGTCATGCAGAGCATTTAAAAATAATTACAAAATCTTGTTTTTGTTACATTATTTCAACGGTGTTATTCCTGTTCACTGAAAGGTCAGCGGGAGAAGTTTGGTACAAACAGCTAAACTAGGAGGCAGCAAGAACAAAAGCGCTGCAGCGTACTAAATGAGCCAAAAACACCTGGTGGAAAAAACAAACAAAAAAAGACATTTATTTTGAATTATATCTTTCGTGTAAGACTATTTTCATGAATTGGCTGCTTTACAGACATGTTCTGTTCCACTAAAGAGATGAAATGGTCCACCCCCTCAAAAAAAAAAATCATAAATGAGGATTTTACCAACAACTGTGACCAGAAGCATACATTGTTAAAACATCTGAATTTCTTATTCGATTGTTTTTATGATCATAAAAACACCAATGGTAAGACCCTAATCGTGATTTTTCAAAAGAAATACAGATTAAACAAAAACAAACAAACATATAGCATCAAAATAATGTATGCTTTGGTATATTAATTTTAGAGATTATTGTTTAAAACTGTTTATACTAGTAATTTTAACTGATTTTTTCTAGTGTGACCCTGTATTCTACAACTTTGTGTTAATAAACCAAATTAATGAGACGGTGCCCTTTGCTGAGGGCACCAAAGGATCAGGTCTGGAGGTTGGTGGGATAAAAATAGAAGGCGATACTGGAGTTGGCTGAACTTTCAGTCACTGACACACAAACATGATTTGGGAAAACAGGTGACACAAGGGTCTGTAGATTCACTTCACTCCTAACAACCGAGTTCAAACCCTTAATAACTGAGCCGAGCCAGCTGGCAGCCACAAAGAAGGGGACGGAGTTGTCATGGCAATAAAAACATTCAAAAATGGGAATAATCTTGTCATGGCAGATTAGAGGTTGAACGCAGAGGAACAGCAAACATCACACCTGTACACGTGCAGAATATTCTTCATATAGTCCGTGTACATTTCTGATACAGCTGAATTAGTCCGTGTACATTTCTGATACAGCTGAATTAGTCCGTGTACATTTCTGATACAGCTGAATGACCAGCAGTACTTCTGTATACTGCACACCTTTAAAATACGAGGTAGATAACACGCTTTTCTAGAAAAGTTCAAGTTGTGCCAAGTATCCACAAACTAACATAAAGGGCAAAATGTGTGACAACCACTACACATCCAAGTTCATTTTCCTCTCTTAGTCAAACACAATATTTTTTAAGACAAAAACCAGTCAAAGTTTGGATGCAGCTACTCAGAACACAGTACTTGCTCTACAGCGTATACTTTTACCTATTCCTCTGATGCACAAGTTTCTTCATTTTACGCACTTAAGTTTTATTTTACGTTTCCAAATCAAAATTAACGTTGATTTTGAAGAATGTTGGTTCCACACAGAGTGGAACATATAGACAAAAAGGGAAAAGTTGCACACTCCAAAATATAGTTTATATACTTTTAGCTTCGTAAACACAACTCTGACTGACAAAGCCTGTTACTCTGAACCCTTCAACTGTTACAGAACAGCTCCATGACCCACAGCTCATGTCTGCTTTTCATGTTAAAGAAATAAACACAGTTTTTACCCACCAGCATGACAACACACCAGTTCAGGATCCCTCTGTAGTTGCTGTAGCCGCTGGCTGAGCTCAAGAGGGACTCTTGTAAAACATGACAGCTGCAGAAAAATAAAACACAACAATATGATTATTATGAGGGCACAATAATTTCCTATGCTTCATTTTCTATTCAACAAAATTTGAGCAGTGGCAAAACAGATTATTTTCAACAAATGAATTACATCCAACAAACATTTTTGTTCCCATAACTGCACTGGGCAATGAGGGAGTTGTGAAAATATAGGTTAAAGGTTCTGATCCCAGAAGGACTTGTGCAAACTGAGGCTGTTCAGTGGAGGCTTTCACAACGCTATGACCGACAGAGAAGGGGACAAGAATAGAAAATGTTGGATTTCAATGGGTCGAACGTTGTAGGATGGATGGTCTTCACATCCTCCACCTCCATAAGATGCCAAGAGTCGAACTCAGTTTGTTGACACCTTCATAATATTAAGCAGACATATTTAAGCTTAAATACTTTTAAGATACTGAAACATCCAAGAAAAAATATAGTTATGTCAATCCTCAATATGTTATTTAAACCAGTGGTTCCCAATCCTGGTCCTTGAGGAACACCATGTTGCATATTTTAGTTGTTTGCCTGCTTTGACACACCTGATTTGAATGAATGAGTGCTTAGTGGCTTTGGCAGAACTTCAGGAAGTAATAAAATCTCTGAATCAAGTGTGCTGGAGCAGGGAAACAACAAAAACATGCAGGATGGCGTTCCTCAAGGACCAGGGTTGGGAACCACTGATTTAAACACACCCAAGCCCAACTTTACAGCTTCCAATTTCTCTCTGGCAAAAGAGTGCTTGACAGGCTCTTATAAAGAATATTACATCATAACGTCCTTTTTATTGAAAAGAAAATATGATTCCTCATCCTGTTCATTAATGGTCTGAATAAACAAAACTAGGTTGGGTTTTCGTTCACAAACCATCCATACATTGTTTATTTTAATAAACTGATAGACATGTCTTCCCCGCAAAACAATGGTCCATTTTGAAGACAAATGTCAAAACCTTGAGGCTAATTTTACAACCATCAAATAAAATAAACAATGAAAAGCCATCGAAACATGTCTGTTAGAAAATTAATTGGCTTAAATTTACAGTTTTAGGGAAGATATCCACCACAGCTAATGACAATTAGCTAAAAAAAAAAAAAAACCTTAAGAAAGTAACCCATTCATTGATATAACATTTTAAAGAAAATATAGAAAAAACAATTTAAAGAAAAACTGGAAATGTTTTTGGACATCTGCAGCTCAACTTCCGGTGGTAACGTTTTTTTCGGTGGCGGCGCTTTGATGTTTTTAAACCCAACGGTTACCTGAGTCTGTCGGTGATGTCCTCCGCCGCGCTCCTCGGCTTCTTCGCACTGTGAGGGAGCTCCTCCTGCTTCGTCCCCACCTCCCCATCGGGACCCACGGGGCGAGAAGCCTCCGCCGCTGCTTTGGTTTTAGCGGAGCACCGTGGAGGTTTTGCCCCAGCGTCGTGCCACTTGCTCCCGTTGGCTTGTTGTTTCACGCCGGAGACGGTCGTCCTCCTCCTGCGGGTTGCGGGCCCTCCTGTGTCAGCTTTTTCGCTCATCTTTTTTTTTTTCTTCTTCTTCTTTGCGGCTTCGGGCACGCAGTTTCTACCTACCCGGCATTGCTTTCTCTCTGCTTTTCTTTCCGGTCGCTGCGAAACGAGAAGTGAACTTGAAGAGGCAGAGTTCCCTCTGCTCTGTCAGTGTTTGTGATGGAACGAGGCGTTTTTACCACCGCTCAAGTTCAAGGTGCAATGGGCTGCACGGGTTGCCAGATCGTTCCAAGACATCCCCCTATCGAGCCACCATTTTCAGCTACTTCCGCCTTAGTGGCAGCTTAATTAGCATTAAATCTTTTAGATGGGAACTACCTTTACTGACTAATCTGTTTATATTAAATAGCTGGGCAAAAGTTTGAAACCACCCTGTATTTTTTTTACATAATTGTTTCTAATATCTTTTTTTAAGCTTTTTAAAATGGTTTTGATCAATAGGCTTTCCTACAGTTTTCTCGTTGGACTTTGCCTACTTTTCCTCCCCACACACATTCTCTGTCGAACTTGTACCCAACTACTGTGCAGTATGTACTGAAAATATATTGAGAAAAATTGACAAGTGGAGGACAAAAGCAGAAGACATGTCAAGCTAAAACTAATTATCTGAAGTAGCTTAATTGGATTGTAAAACTGTGGCTTCAAAAATAGAGGAAACACTTCAGTTGATCATCTACTAAATGTCAAGTTTTACCACTTTTTGTATCTATGTTGGTGGTAAAATACTGCTTTATCTCTGTCAAACTGTGTTACCTTTGGCACTGGACTGAAATGAGTGGAAAAGAGTAAAAATAAATAAAGCATAGTGTCTAATTCAGAAAGCATTTATTTTAAAGATCAGCAGAAAATTTGGTTGCTTGGAAGCAAATCATAAAGAAATAAGAGGTATTGTACAAATTTGCACAACACTTGTAGTCCAACCCAGAGAACTTTGAACAGAGTTAATATTTGGAGTCTTTCTTGTGCAATGAAGTTTCATGCTATGTGTGCAGTGTTGGAATCTGCTGAGTGATAATTGTTTTAAAGCCCTCGTTAACTGGAAATATGATTTATTTGTTTACTCTGATAAACAAAGGGATACATTATAACATTTCCTTGCTTAAGTCTTTGATGGATGCTCCTTTTACACTCTGTCCTAATACTCTGCTGATTGTGATTTATGTTAGTGCTTCCCAGTATTAGGGTTGAGGCTGCACTGTGGGTCATGAAACACCAAGGGGTCTTTAGGTAATCTCCAGACATCAACTTAACATTCAGAAATAAACGCTCAAGGCTTGTTTTCACAATAATTGTCTAAATACAAATACATTTTTCTGAAATTATACAATAATTTTCTTTACACATATGCTTGTTCAATATATGTCCAAACGTATACTCTTAAGTTTTCCTCGCATTGTACAAATACAATAATAATAATACAACAAATCAGATTTTTTAGAAAAGTATGTACAATATAAATAATTTATCTGTTAACAAAACTATTTTTACAGCTGTTCTGTATTTTAATAACAACTATGAAAATCATTATAATATTCTGTCTTTATGTTTCAAATTGTGGGAATAATGTCAGCAAACAGAAAGGACTACAAAAACTACAATCAAGTCAGGGTGCAATAAAAGTGCGTCATCAGACAGCAGAATACGCATCACGTGATATTTCTGTCCAATCACAGCGCAACAGGAAGCGCCGCCACCGGTTGATTCAGTTGACACCGGCGACAGCTGTCGAAAGAACCATTGACGTTGTAGGAAAAATACTGCTTTCTTTTACCTGTTTTGTAACACCTTTAGTTTGTTTTCTCGTTTCTATGGAACAACACTACCGCTCTCCTTCTTAAGTCCGCTTTTAAAGGATATGAGAAAACAGAAGAGGAAGAAACAAAACGGAGGAGTTGGGGTGAACGACATCGGGGATGTCACCAGCAGCGAAACAGGTTAGCTAGCGTTAAAACTTTTACACTTAGTGAATGAGCTAGCCTTGTTTCCATATTCAAACCGTCATATTCGCTATATTTAAATGTATATATTTGTTGTATTTGTTAGGAAATAAAATTACCCAGTCTTCGACATAAGTAACATCTAATTTTACGTAATTAATACGCTCCTGCAGCAGTCTGGACGCTAATCTCTGGAGCTGTCTGCAGCTTTTTCCCCGCAGCACTTTGCAGCCCGCAGTTGTTTGGTTTCCACGACTGTCTCAAAGAAATAAAGCTCCAGATGCTGCCTGCGTGGCAGCCTGTCAGCCAAAAACAGCCTGTTTAAAAAGCCTGGAAAACAGCCAATGTTTTGTTGAAGCCATTCAAGTACTTTAGACACAACATTTATACAACTATGTAATGACGTAATATAGTAAAGTTGGCAATCACTGCTCAGTGATGTGATGCATAACGTTTTTGGTTATTAAAAAAAGGCAAATCAAGACTTTTCTAGAATGTTTTTAAACTTTTGTATGTACCAGTTTTTTTAAAGTTAACTTTTCTGGAATCATTTTATATCAGAAGTGTGAAACGATGGGAAAATACATAATTCTTCATTCTTTTCTCTCCACGTCCATCACCTCTGTTCATTTTACTTGTTAAAGTTTCCCTTCTGTGTCTTTATTATTTTTTTTTTAACTCACTTTCTGTTAATTACTCAAATTATTCTAATTCTCTTCTTCTCATCCTTTAATCTCTGTTTCTTCTTCACAGAATCAGACTGTGGGAGGAAACAGAAACTGGCAATCATCCATCAGGCTTTGATCAGGTCATAACAAAATACTGCTTGTCCCACCTCCCCACACACTTTTACATGACTAGTTTTATTAAAAATTGTTAACTTTTTTCAACCCAAGTCAGCTTTTTGTTATACCATTCACATGCTCCAAATCTCTAGCATTCTATTTAATACGTTTTGATCTGATTGTGTTTTGGCTGTTTATGTTTTTGCCTTTATTTTACTTTCATTTATTTTGTCTTGTGTCTTAAGTTATTTTAATGTCAAGCACCTTGATATTTTCTTTCTTCCTTAAAATGCACTATATAAATACAATTGACTTTATCTTGACCTGAGTGACAGATCACTCCAAATATTGTGGTACAACAATAATTTTCAGAATTTGGAGTTGTTGTCTTTTGAACATGATTTTATGTTTTTGATTTTGCTTCAGAATCGTCATGCAAGAATAAAGTCAGGTTAAAACAATCTGGAAGTGTACAATTTATCCAAGCTAATCACAGTAGTTTGTTTTCTTTATGAAAGACAAGATTGAGAATAGCTGCACATCTCTTTCTTTTTAAGCTGACTATGATTGTATAAAGCCAAAATCTGGATGTTGTTTTTCAACCCATAGGGATCCAGTGGACATTAAGACCCTGAGAAAAGCTGCAGCCAGTAAAGGAGGCCTGCTCACTGATGAATTGAGGAGAAAAGTGTGGCCCAAATTACTGAACATTAATGTGTATGATCTACCACACAAACCTGGTTAGTATAGTTTGATGTATATTAATAATATAACATGTAGCAATTTGTTGTTTGTGGAAATAATACTAAAGTAATGCTGGCCTCGTTTTGTTTTCTGCTTCAGGTCGATCTGTGAGGGAGAACCACAAGGACTACAATCAAGTAGTCCTGGATGTCAGGCGGTCTATGAAGCGGTTCCCTAAAGGTGTGTGTGTGTGTGTGTTATCGCTATAGATAGGAACGCCACTCTTTGGTGTGTCATTTATTAGTCTTTACCCCTGTACATACAGCCACATGCAGAGTTATCTGACTGACTTAAAATAATTATTGACAGGGGTTGAAGCTTTGCCAAAGAAAACTTTAAAGTCAGAGTTTGTGAAACCGACAGGATAATGCCATGCCTTAGACATTTTATTCTAATCAAATTAATACAATTAGTAAAATTAGTCTTCTTGACAAAAGATAGTTTTAATTTTAAAGTGTATACAAAAAAGCAGTGTTATTCACAGACATCTGTGAATGTACCACACTTATAGTTTAAAAAAAGTACTCTTAATTTTAAACATTATATTTCACACATAATTAAATCAAAAGTATACACACCTGTTTGACTGTATCTACTTTCCTCATAGTTGGGATAAAATTTGTCCTTTTTCCCCCATTGTTCAGGTTCTTACACACTGGCAGTATGTGTCTTAGTATTTGCTGCTAGTATTTGTTGTTTTTTTGTACAAGGTTATGTTTACCTAATTTCAAGATGTGGTAAAGAAAGGCCCAAAAATGTTCGTTATGCCCACATGCATAAAACCTTTAATTCAATTCAATTTATTTATATAGCGCCAAGTCACAACAGAAGTTGTCTCAGGGCACTGTTCAAAAACATTCACATACATCATAAACACAATTAGTAAAAGTTCTCTATCTAAGGGAGACAGCAGATTGTGTTGAATCTTCACATCGTCACCGTCTCCCATCCTGAGCGAGCACAAAGGCAAGAGTGGAAAGGAAAAACTCCCTTTTAAGAGGAAGAAACCTACAGCAGAACCAGGCTCAGGATGCGCGGCCATCTGCTTCAACCGGCTGGGGTTTGAGAGGACAGGAAGGAGAAACGGACAAACCCAGAATGGTCCAGGTGTACTTTTTATAGGAAGAATGACAAAGAAACATTACGGATAGAAATAATTACCAATACAAACACGTAGAGTAGAGTGAGTAAAGACAGCAGCAGAGTGAGGAAATGTGGTCGGTTTGTTCTCCAGCAGTCTAAGCCTATAGTGGTATAACTAAGGGATAGCTCAGGAAACCCAAGCCGACCCTGACTATAGGATTTATCAACAAGGAAAGACAAACAAAATCTTAAAAGTAGAAAATGTGTCAGCCTCACAGACAGAAACTGGAAGTTGGTTCCACAAGAGAGGAGCCCGGTGATTGAAAACTCTCCCATTCTACCTTTGGAAACTCTAGGAACCACAAGTAAACCTGCAGTCTGAGAGTGAAGTGCTCTGTTAGGAAAGTATGAAACAATAAAATCTGTAATATAAGATGGAGCTAGGTTGTTGAGAGCTTTGCATGTTAGAAATAGCAGACCAAATTATGCCAGAACACAAATAGCGAGGGGGGGGTCCTCCCCCAGAAAACTTTGAATAAAGAAGATGCCATTTCCTGCATTCTGGTGTATTTAAACGGGTTGTTAAACATCTACGTTTACCTACAATTCACTAACTATTTTAGAGGGCAACAAAAAGTAGCCTGACCAACAGCTCTCCCTGTGTGAATAGAGCACACTCCGCTTCTTTCATGCATCCTACCCCCCCCACCACCTTCCCCCCACCCATGCCGACCTAAACCTGATTTTTCCATTACAAACTGTGGGTAGTAGGTTTGTTTGGCCTTGAACTGGGCAGCTGTCCAGATTTTTAGGCATCCCTCGCTTGTCTTTTCAACATTTTGATTGCTGTTATTTTGGCAAATTGGTGCTGTTGTGTGATGTACGTCACATGATTACCCATCAAAACATTTCTCCTGTCGTACTTTTAATAAGCAAAATTTTATTAATGACCCATTTAAACTGTAAAACTGATTTGCAATTTAGCCATGCTGTTTAATTATATTTTTGTGTTTTTAATGAAATTGTTCATGACTGAACTTTTAGGGGCAGAGATTTTTTTAAGGGTAGAAGCGGAAATGCTTACTTGAAGGGGCAGCTCTTCTATGATATTAGGAAGCTCGTAAGTGGCTGTTATGTTAAAAATGAGTGTTTATATAATTGTTTTACGATTACATGTCCAATAGAGACATTATTTGTTCAAGGCAGTCAAATTTGTTCATAACTTCATTATTAGTAAGCCTGAGAGTTACTGGATCCAAGCAAACAGTTATCAGAAAGCACCCTGTCAAAATAAGAGAGTTCCTGGATCCTATTCCAGCAGGAGCCAGCTCAGCTTAACCACTGGTTAGAAGTAAATACCTTAGAAATAAACAGGGTGTCATTTTATTTTTTTACTATGACTACGCTATTTTTCTCAGCTTATACTGCATTTCCTGAAAGTTTATATTTATCTTTTGTGCATGTTTACTTGTAGTTGGTGCCATTAAGCAGTTTGGGGCAGTATAATAGCCTGGATGTGGACGATACAGTCTAAAATCACATCATACATGTTGAACTATAATAAAATTAAGTAAAGTTATAAATATCTTGTTTTTGTGCTTTCTCTCAGGCATGCCAGCAGCAGAGAGAGCAGTCCTTCAGGAGCAGCTGATTGACATGATACTGGCAGTTTTAAAGCATAACTCTCAGCTGCATTATTATCAAGGCTACCATGATGTGGCTGTCACTCTGTTGTTGGTGGTCGGGGAGCGTATGGCTATTGCTATGCTGGACAAATTGTCTAATCATCACCTCAGGTTTATATGCCCCTTTTTATTACTGCTTATCCAAATAATCTTATGTTCCTGTGTTTAATTATCAAAATTGGTTTGTTTTCTCAGGGTGTATTTAACATAAGTTGATCTTTTCTGTCTGTAGGGACTTCATGGATCCTACCATGGATAGCACCAAAGACATTTTAAATTATCTGATGCCTATTTTGGAGCAGGTTGACATGGAACTGCATGACTTTATGACCAGGTAAAAATACACTAACATACAAAAATCATACACCACCTTGTTGGAGTGAATGAATTGGCCACTAGAGGGCGACACATTCAGGATTTTCAGTCGAAAGACTGGACTAAGTATTTTGTTGAGGAATGAATATATTACAAAATAAATGCATCAGAGTTGATCTCATTGCACCTCATTAAACTACATTTTTCTGGGTTCTGTAGTGAAATCAGCTCAATTAAGTAATATAATGCATTTAAATACATTGGATTTTATTGAGCCAGTGCATAAAAGGCTCAAGTGAACACCTCCAGGTTTAACGTGTGTTTATTGGGAAGTAGGGTTAGAAATTTCTGCAAGCTGGTGACTCATTCTTTGACATATTTTGATACATTTTTATGCATGAGTTTGTTTAAATTACATTTGCTATCTTGTTTATTATTGATGATTTGCTGGAAACTTCTATTTTTGCTAAATATCTTCATACACATACAAACAAGCAGAAGAAAATAAACAAATCATTATACTCAGAAGAAGACAACAAGACAAAATACAATTTACTTCAAAGCTTCATGTTTCCGCTCCTTCCTGCCTTCTTATCTTTGTCTCTTTCATTCTGCCCTTGCTTTCCTTTTTTCTTCCATTTTCCTTTCTTTTACACTTTGTCTCATTTCTCCATCCATCCTATTGCATGTGCTTCTTTCCTTTCCCCCCTCTTTTTACTTCTTTTCATGATTATCTCTCCCTGTATATCTGCTGCCATCATGCACACATCATTCATGTTCCTATTAATATTTACCATAAACCTTTCTGTAGAGCTGCTGCCTCTCAGCGAGCAGGTCCTTGGTTCAAACCCCGGTCCAGGGGCCTTTCTGGGTGGAGTTTGCATGTTCTCTCCGTGCATGCGTGGGTTTTCTCCGGGTACTCCGGTTTCCTCCCACAGTCCAAAAACATGCATGTTAGGCTGATTGGTAACTCTAAATTGTCCCTAGGTGTGAGTGAGAGAGTGAATGTTTGTTTGTCTCGTTTGTCTCTATGTGGCCCTGTGATGGACTTGCGACCCATTCAGGGTGTACCCCGCCCCTCGCACAGTGATTGCTGGACATGGGCACCAGCGACCCCCGTGACCCAAAATGGAATAAGCGGGTAAAGAAAATGGATGGATGGATAAACCTTTCTGTGTCTTATTTCCATGGGACTATGTCAAAACAAATCAGCTTGGAACTGGGTTGATCATAAAATATTTGGTGACAATCAACTTTCATTTGAGTAATTGCACTTTAATTTTCTTTCCTTGTTTATTTTATATCACTATGACAAGAATGAGTATAATCTTAGTTGACTTGTAACACATGTTATTCAGTAAAAATTAGTTTGAACATTTAAAAAAGTTTGACTTGACTTTAGGGAGCTGTTAAAAAAAGAGAGAATAAAAACAGGGTAGTTTTAAACGCTGAATGCAACTGCTGCCTTCTTTCAAAGTTTGATGAGTTCTTAGATGGTGGATCTGTTTATGAGTTCAAAGAGTTGGGCTATGAGCTGGTTTTAATACCACCGACTGCCACTTTCCATCCCAAAACTGTTTGTTTGTATTGTTTGGTGAAGGTTGTCAACAACAAAATAGAATTGCTGATCATTTTGAGCTCTTCGTTACCAAAAATAAGTTACTAATAGATGTTTGTGATAATGTTGGGATCAGTTAGGTTTTATTTTTAGCTTTATCGTTACATAAATATAATTTCATGCCTGTTGATAGCAAGATTTAAATATTTTTATTTGTCTTTTCTATCATAATCTAAACCTTCTCCCAACTAAATGCGGTTTTCCTGGCATAGGCTTAATTTAAGGCAATATTATTTTCTTAACATCTTTCAACACCATGATAATTTAAGGGCCTCACAAATGACAATAACAGTCCTTTTGATGAAACCAAATGTATAGCAAATACAAAAACAAGGCATATCTGTACAAAAAAAAGGGTTTTAAAAGAGTAAACTATAAAAATAAGCTAATAAAACAAAACAACATTATTAGTACATTATTTCTGTTTATTGTTCATGTGTATGTTTTCTTTTTAGAGCTGAGGTTGGAACAATCTTTGCACTTTCCTGGCTCATCACGTGGTATGGTCATGTCCTGTCGGAGTTCAAACACACTCTGAGGTTGTACGACTTCTTCCTGGCCTCGCATCCGCTGATGCCCATCTACCTCGCTGCTACAGTAAGACAGCCAGAGTCGGACAGACGTTTTTTTCTGTAATCCAGGATACATAAATCCCTGTTAACACACGGACTGATTCACTGTGAGGCGGAGTACCGTCGTCACGAAACTAGCGACTTAATTATTTTTCTGCCTCCTAATTAAAAAAAAAGAGGAATGTAGCTAAAATTAATTAGCTAAAAGGCTAAAACGTGAAGGAAAATGAAAACAGAGAAAATCTATGTAGAAATTTTTGACAAGAGTTTGTCTCGATGCTGCTCACAACATCCTGCATGCTTACTAGTTTAAGCGTGAATGTGTTTGTGGAAGTAATATGGTTGTTTGCATTCCTTTGTTCTTCGAGGGTGTGTTGGTGTGTGAGGAGGCCTTGTTAACTCAAGAACTTGTGCATGTGTTTATTTGTGGGTTCAACTGAGCAAATGTTGTTGTTGGGGATGTTTGTGTGAGTCTTTGTGTGTTCAGGGCGAGGACTCTGTTTGAAGTGTGTGAAACAACACAGCAGAATGTAGTTTGTGTTTCCTCCGAGGCTGAGATCAGTGCACTGCGTGGAGCTTTAATTGAACTGAGAAGAAAATTATGGTGTCGCATTAATTTATAAGTTAACAGACTGAAGAAAAATGTCAGAAAAAAAGTTCAGATTCTGAAAAATTAGAGGTGTTGCAAAGAGAAGTGTAGTTTAAATCTTTACAAGTCACCATGAGTTTATCATTATTTAACATCGTAGGCAGCCTTTCAGTAAACCAGGGGCTCTCAAACCTTTCAGGGACCCTTTACAGGGGAGAAAAAGTTTCAGGGACCCCCTCATAACCCTCATGTTTATTAAATAATTTTCTTCAATTTGTCTCTTCAATGCAATTGTAACATAAATGCTTAAGATGTGTTCTTTAATAGTGTTAATATAATTTTTATACTTTTTAAACATGGAGTATTTTTCATTGAAGACACACTTAATTAACACAATTTTTAATTTCAACTTCCAAAAATGACATTTTTGAGAAAAAAAACCCACACTTTACCTCTTCACATAATGAACATAAATGTTTTGCCACTTGTTCAAATTATTAAAGAAAACTCTTTGAACAGAATCATAACAGCAGTAGTCAGACCAAGTAACAGGACTTAATTTGTAAACCGATCGATGCCGTCATGCAAATAGTGGACGGGCTGGGAGTGGTGGGGTCTGGTGGTCCTCCCCCAGAAAATTTTGAATAAAGTAGATTCCTTCATTTTGGTGCATTTTAACGGGTTGTTAAACATCTACGTGCTTGTAAAAATGCATTTATTTATTTAAAAAAAATTTGCAGACCCCCAAGCACTGGCTCGCGGACCTCCAAGGGTTTGGGGACCTCAGTTTGAGAACCACTGCAGAAGAAGACAGTTTAATGTTTGGAAGCATAGAGCTTCCAAACATTAAATATGTAACATTTCCAGAATGAAAGTGCCAGTCCTGCTTTCATTTTACAGCTGTTTACAGTTTTTAGTAGTTTTCAGATTCTTAAACGTTAACGTTTCTATTTCTATGTTTTAGTGAAATCTGTATTATTACATTCTTGATATTACTGTGTGCACTCCAGTGCTTAATTCTGGTTAGTTTCTTTTAAAGTTGCACATTTTTATGACCAAAAAAAAAGAAGAGAGAATTTAAAATTAGTCCTTTCTTTTTTATTTAATTTAATTTTTTTAATCTATATTGTTTTTACTTCGCCTTTGTTTATCCGGATCCCCTTCATTATTTTTTGGGCCTCTGAATTCTCATTCAGGTTTTTCCACATGTACATAACTTTCCTGTTGTCGAAGTTATAACTCATAACAAAAGTTTCCAAACTGTCAGAAATATCAGCAGAAATCATTCCAGCTGCAGCAGCATCCAGACCAACTTGGAAAAATGTTTGAAAAGTCAGAAAAATCAACAGAAAAATTGAACTTTTTAAGAAATGTCAAAATATGAAGTCTAAAGCAACATATACAGATGTTTGCAACAGGCTGTCATTACTGGAGCAATAATGTTGAACATAACTAACTCAAAAATAATCTGCCTATTTCATCAAACCAAAACCTGCTGATGTACAATAAAAACACAAGTCCTATAATTTTTTTAAATTCTCTGCTTCAGATCGTGTTGCACAGAGAGAAGGAGGTGAAGCAAACGGAGTGTGACATGGCCATGGTGCACCACCTCATCTCCCGCATCCCCCAGGACCTCCCATATGAGCTTCTGATCGGCCGAGCCCAGGACCTGTTTGACCAGTATCCTCCATCGTTGCTGGCCAAGCGGGCAGCACTACAGTCCCGCAAAAGGTAAGGTAACAAAATTAAAATGGTCATCGGTGGCAGTGTTCTTTAATTCTAGGATTTTGTTTTTCAACCCAGGCTCTAATGTGCAAACTATTATTTTTGGACAAGTCTTTAAAGTCAGATTCATGTTAAATAAGGGGCTGTTGAAGTTGATACCCACCAGTAGTTATGTTACTGTTTAAGTTCGTAGGACACTATTATTCAAACTTTTGATCATAACTTTATTTAGCATCAAGATTAATTTAACCTTAATAACAATAAAAAAAAAGTTACATTCACAATCGGTTTACAAGAGAAAAGACAGCAAAATATAAAACTAGAGAAACTGAAAGCAAAAAAAAAAATGTTCATGTTTTTGTTTATGAAATTATTAATAAACATTAGCATCGGCTTGTATGGGGAAATTAATTAAACTTCAGAATGTGCTTCATAGGAGAATTTTGAAGCAGTTACAGTGTATGGACTGTATGCGTGTGATGTTATCCCATTAATCACCAACAGGGGGTGCTCTAATGTTCTGTTCTGGCGCCAGAGGTGCAGCTCAAACATTCAGGTCATTCGGTGTAGCCTTTTTTCCCTCTCTCTTTTATTACTGAGGAGGAAACCTTAGAAACCCCCTCCCTGCTTTCTGCTCGTCAGCGTCTTCCAGCGTTGCGTGCAGTCATCGTTTAAGGCAGAAAGCGACACAGGACCTTGACTGACACGCTGAAAGATACTAACGTCCCAAACATACGTTAGCCTTTCTTGCACAAGAACCACTGAGTTAGCACTTCTCTCAAACTGCCTCCAGATTTCTGCCTCGTCTGTCTTTATCACTTTATCCATCAGTCCATCTCCTCATGTCGCTCCTAATGTTCATGATACACTGGAAACCTAACTCTGTCCGTCAGTACTGGCTAACGTTCACTTTCCATCCATCTCTGCCTCTGTTTTCTCACTCCAGCTTGTCCATAAGCACCTTCCAGGCATTTCAGCTCTCCACCCTCCACCAGAGGCCAGACTCTGTTCTCCAACGCCTCACCAGGGCTCAGGGCTCCACCACCTCCAGACATGGTAAAAATAGTTCCTGTAATCTTATTACTGACTGTGAAGTTTCCTACTTAGACACACACATCTGTAGATAAGTGAAGCAGAAATGTGTTCTTGTTGCATACCGTTTGAAGTTTGCACAAAATGGATATTGTCTGTGAAACTAAAATCCTCCTCATTAATGAGCGTTTGGGGTTCCAACTGTGGTAATATAATTCTTCAAAACAAGACAACAGTAAACACTTCCCTTTTGGGGCAATCAATAACAAGTAAACAAATGTTGTAGCACCCCCATCAGACCAATCAAGAGAAAATTAAAATATACCAGAACAGAACAAAGAGATTCATTATTCCCTTATTGTCTGTGATGTACGTGCGCTCTAAAATGTAACGTCATATTACCCTTTGGCCAAGCAATGTAATTGTAAAACTGGATATTTTCTCTGAAGTTTCATGAAAATGTAATTAGGAGTAAGTTGAAGAGAAAATCGTACACAGCTTTTAGAAACCTCCTGATTCACTGAGGAAAACAAGAGGATGGAGTCGAGCCTGGCAGATGTTCGATTTGATCAAATTCTTGAAAAGATTTATAACCAAAGGGTTTTTAAAATTATTGTGTGCATGTGTGCACATTTTTATTTCTACGATTATTCTTCATGAAAACGATACAACAAATCGGCTAGAAATTGATGCACAATAAATAATTTACTTTATTTATTATACTTTATACTTTATTGTTTTTATCTTGAACTTTTTTGACTTTACCATGTCCTGGATGACTGAGAATCTTCACTGGCTATTAATGACACAATCGGCTTGCCATAGTTCCCCACCTTCGTTCTGCTTGCTGCTTGGAGCAAGTCCAGCCAGCTGCACCGCCCCGGTGAAATGCAGCTAATTTAACCATTAAAGTGCATTTATTAAGTAAAAGTTAAACTTTGCTATAATTTTGAGCAAACAAACAATTGTTTTTAAGTGTTAATCTTGTTAAATTCTTGTTAAATTCCTCCAGTGCGCGCTCCCGCGGCTGCCATTTGGCAGCCAATCGATTTTTGGCACAACACCGGCGCACATTTCTGGGTTTGCAGCGGTGACGCGTAACAAACGCGACACGCCAGCAGTGACGCATAATAGATGCAATGTATACGGTAAAGTGACATATTTATGGATTTTTCCACTTTTTTAGACATATTTGGATTGATGCGACTTATTGGGCGGTGCGACGAATACGGCGGAAAATACGGTAGCTATTAGCTAGCTCCATCTTAAAGCACCTTTCACCCAAAGACAGCTGGAGATGGACACCAGCTCCCCACAACCCTGAACAGCATCACACACAGAAAATAGATGTACAGATGACAGTTTAGGGTGCTTCTTTCTGAGAAAAGTCATTATAAAATAATCTAAACTAACATGGAAGGCCAAGTAATTATTTGTCCCCACCTTTTTAACCCCGTTTTTACCCTAAGTAAATGGACTGTACTTATTTAGCATCTTTCTACCCAATGAGTCTATTGAAAGTACTTTACATCCCATTCTGTGTTCTCATTTATCCTTCCTCTCACATTTATACAGCACTCTGCTACATGTCTACAAAGCTAATCTGAATAAATCCATCTATAGTCTAATCTGTGCTTTAGGTCACATTAATGCACCAATGGGCACACATCTGAGGCAATGAAGGGTTCAGTTTCTTACCCAGGGAAATTTCAACATGTAACAGCATACTACCAGGAATCGAACCTCTGACTCATGACATGACGACTCTAACTGATCCACTGACACTCCATTACCGTCCTCATTGTCATTTTGAAAGTGTCATTTGAGGTGTCATTTTGATTCCCCTTTCGCTGTAAAATAAAATTAAATAAACAAAAATATAGTTGAGAAATTTTTCAAAATGTACTCAAACTGACACTGAAAACTAGTTTTTGCACATAATTATTATAACACAAATGAAATAAACCCCCAAAATAAACACAAGGTACACCTTAATAATAAAACTAACGCGGTCCTTGCTTTGCAGTAAACCTGTATGAAGGTTACAACATTCATTTATTGCTAAAAGTATTTTCAAGCTCATTTTCTTTCACGGTCAATTTAGATGCTGTAATTTGTTTGTTTGCCTTGAAGGAAAGTTCTAGTTTTTTCTTCTGCCCTCACTGATTTAAAAACTAAAGTCTGCAAATGTATTTATTTTTTAATTTAATTTTATTATTTTCAAAAAGCAGTTAAAGAAACCAGGTGTTTTTGTACAAAATGGTAGCATTATAAAACTTTTTGACCAATTTTAAACATGCCAAAATATCAAAATGACCTCAGATTTTCTCACGTTTTAATTCTCAACATGATTTTGTTTTTAAAAGGTTTAAATTATTTAAAATCACTGCATTTAGTAAATTTACATTTTTCACAGCTTCCAGATTTAGGTGAAGAATTTTGCACTAAAATCATTTTTCACCACTTGAACAGACTCTGGTCTGTAAATAAATGTATTCAACCAAAACTTTTAACTTTAATGCTTCACTGACCGTCATTGTGGTCACATTACATGTGGTTAAAGAGATCAGTTTTCTGGTTTTTAGTTATTAATTCAATTCAATTTATTTATATAGCATCAAGTCACAACAGAAGTCGTCTCAGCACACTGAACAGAAACATTCATATATAAAA